CGGGCCCCGGGCTGGGGTTGGGGAGCTGGGGTCCCGGGACGGCCCGCCCATCCGGCTCGTCTGCCCCCAGCCCGTCGGAGCTCTCCTGCTGGAGCACTGCAGAGTCGCCCAGGAAGAGCCCAGCGGCTTCTCCATCAGTGAGTGCGGGGGGCGGGGACCCGGCAGGCGGGGACCCGAGCTCCGCTCTGCCCCTCCCCATAGACGAAGTCCGCCGTCCCGGGCAGGGCTGCGCTTCTCCCCTTTGCCACCGCCAAGGCCACCAGGGTTTTCATTTCTGTCGGCGAGCACTGGCCTCTCGGGGTGCCTCTACTGAGAACCGGGGAGCACCGGTTCTCAATGCCCGGCTGGGGACCCTAGAGGATTATCCTGAGTCACCTTGAGAGGATCGAGTCTGCAGGGAAAGGCAGAACTTTTCGTTTTCTGGAGTGGCCTTAACGTACTGTCACAGACTGTGAGGCTTTCTCCCAGTGCTGGAGGGTAGAAGTTCGGGGTTGGGGTGTCTGCAGGACTGGTTCCTTCTGAGGGGGGAACCATGCTCTCCCAATTTCTGGAGGCTGTTGGCAATCTTGTAGAAGTGTCACCCTGATTTCTGCCTCCATAGTCCCGTGGCCTTTTCCCTGCGTGTCTGTGTCCAGATCTCCCTTGTTTATAAGGACACCAATCCCACCCCACTCTAGTGTGTCCTCACCTTAACCAACTACACCTGCAACGACCTTGTACCCAAATAGGCTCTGTTCCCAGGTTCCAGGAGCGAGGTTTTGAACATACTCTTTTGGGGGATACAGCCTCTAGCCTGTGGGAAGCGGTGAGCCCGAGCTGGGTCTAGGGGACAGTTGTGGACAGTGGCAACAGGAGGCTGAGGCCGGTGGCCAGCATGGGTGGTGGTGGGAGTGAGCAGGGACAGATGGGCCCCTTCCTCTGCAGGTTTCATCGAGGACCCGGAAAGGAAGTATCACTTTGAGTGCTACAGCGAAGAGCAGTGTCAAGAGTGGATGGGAGCTCTGCGTAGAGCTAGGTAGGGTGTGGGGTATATCCTGGCCTGGGGGCCTGGGGCAGGGGCAGAGCTGGGCCCTGTGAGCACAGGCCACTTCCTTTCCCAGCTACGAGTTCATGCGCAGGAGCCTCATCTTCTACAGGAACGAGATCCAGAAGATGACTGGCAAGGTGTGCATGGGGCACGGGAAGTGGTGGTGGGGGGAGAGCTCCCCGGCCAGAGCTCATGCTACCCGTCCATCACACAGGACCCCCTGGAACAGTTCGGCATATCGGAGGAGGCCCGGTTCCAGCTGAGTGGCGTGAAGGCATGAATCTGGGGGTTAGGCTTGGGCTCCTCAGCTTGACTCACCGAGGCCTAAAGGAGCCCTCCCTACCTCACCAGGCCAAGCCTGGGTTTCGGAGTGAGGTGTTTCAGTAGCCCCAGGCTGGTGAGGGTGGGCAGAAGCTGTGCCTTGGGACCCATCATACTAGTCCAGCACCTCTCAGTGCCACATGCTGCTGCTAGAGGACGAGCACACACTCCCAGGAGCTGTGCTTGGTTCCTCGGGCTCACCTATCTAGGGCCTGGTGGGCTCCTGAAGCTGGTGCAGCTCTCTTGCCCTGTGCAGGCTGAATGTATGAACCGAGATAATGCTGTGAAGGGCTCGGGAGCCTTGCCTTCTGGGCTGCTGTGAATTCTGCTGAGGGCCAGGGCCCGGCCAACACCTCTGGGCAGAGCTAGAAGCATTTGCCCTCCGGCTGGTGTACTTGTTCTGTTCAAATAAAGGTACCTCTTTTCCACACAGGACAGTGGTGCAGTGATGTCCAGTGAATGCAAAAAGGGACGTGTCCTCCACAGGCTGGTGGAGCTGGTTTCCAAGGGAAGTAGGGTTCCTGGGGGACAAGAGGTTCTCTTTAGACCTGAGGTTCAAGTGCCTGGGAGGAAGGGGTGGGCCATCCAAATTGAGGGGAGGGGACACAGAACCCAGAGCCTAGAACAGCGGTTCTCAACCTGTGGGTCGCTACCCCTTTGGGGGTCGAACGACCCTTTCACAGGGGTCGCCTAAGACCATCGGAAAACACATATATAATTACATATTGTTTTTGTGATTAATCACTATGCTTTAATTATGTTCAATTTGTAACAATGAAAATATATCCTGCATATCAGATATTTACATTACAATTCATAACAGTAGCAAAATTACAGTTATGAAGTAGCAACGAAAATAATTTTATGGTTGGGGGGTCACAACATGAGGAACTGTATTAAAGGGTCGTGGCATTAGGAAGGTTGAGAACCACTGTTTATATATGTGTTTTCTGATGGTCTTAGGTGACCCCTGTGAAAGGGTCGTTTGACCCCCAAAGGGGTGGCAACTCACAGGTTGAGAACCACTGGCCTAGAAAGTCAGGGAGGCTGGGAGCCCAGCCCAAGGGCCCTGAGGGAGAACGGGTGGGTGATGGGACCCTCAGATGGCCTGGGATCCCACCTCCGGTCACAGGCTGATTCTTTGAGTGCAGGCAGGACCTTGCAAAGGGTTTGGTTTTTCATCGAAGTGCCGTCTCTGGTGGGGAGGAGGCCTGACCTAGTCAGATAGGTCTCCCCGAGGTGGGCACTCACTGCCAAAGTCACAACAGCTGCTTTCAGGGGCTGTGGGGCCTCTTCTGGGTGTGACCATTCTCCACACATGGAGCCCTCAAGGTTCTCTAAGGTCTCACCATGTGAGAAATGCCAGCAGACCAGGTTCAAGTGAAAACAAACATTTTATTACAGTCTGGAGATGGAAATCAGAGTACAGTGGGGTTCCCTTAGGAAAAGAGGGTCAAACCAGCAACCCCAAGTGAAACACAGTCTACCAGAAGGACAAAGCAGGGCTGGTCTGAGACACAAGACATAAGCCAGCATGGATGGACCATGGGAATGGGGGTGGGGGCGGGGTGGATGAACAGTCTCCTTCGGACTTTGTGGATAAATAAAAGGGCGAGCGGGTCTTAAATAAATCATTAGTCATAGCTGGAAGGGAAGGAAGGCTGGCTCCTGACCGGAGGGTCTTCAGAGTTAGGTTTTCCTGAGCAAAGCACCCTCATAGCCCTGGGCTTCCCTGAAGTTGCCCGGAGTCAGCAGCACTGGTCTCTGCCCAGAGGAGACTAGAACCTGTCCTCCAGAGGGATGGTTGTTCATGCACCCCGCCCCACTCCTTTGCTGCCCTCCCCACGCCCTCACTGCCAACAGCGGCTGATCAATCTCACAGTCAGGAGGGCTGGAGGGTGCACAGAAAGGAGACCCCAGCGCTTGGGCAGACATGGTTGTATGGGGAACACAGATATAACACGTCAGTAGGAAGTCCTGCACGGTGGCACACAGTTATCACAGAAGTGATGCAGTGTTTACAGGGTTGCTTGATTCCAGACCAGGGACTTGCTACATGCTGCAACTTTGCTACTGCTAACCCTGTAGCTTTTTTAGGGAGCCCTGTGCTGGAGGACGGGATTGCAGGATGTGGGGTGAGCACAGCACCTTCGTGTGCCAAGAGCACAGACCTGGAGGTAAGGGAGCCAGGGCAGCAGTTACAAGACAGCCAGTTATGAGAACCTGTCTAAGCACCATCTACAGCCTGACGATGGCTCTGGGCCAGGCATCACCCCCGTTACACAGGGCTCTACCAGGACGCACCCGAGGAAATTGGGGAGTCAACAGCCAGGCCTGTTCTGCACCCTTTTGGGCCTGTGTTCCACAAGGCCACTGCCCACTCCCCAGAAAAGCTGGCTCCAGCCCTGCCTCCAGTTATCAGGAGTGAGCCCAAGCCAGGCTTGCCACATCAGCCCTCCCAGGCAGGCCACGGGCCCCTGGCAACCACATCTGGAAGGATGGGCTGTGCTGGCCAGACGGGGGAAGGTAGGAACTTGAGGCTTTTCTTGGGTTCCCATGTTCCCTGATGGTGTCATCTCATGGGGACAAGCACCAGAATAGCAGGGCTCTGACTGAACCAATCTAAGCCTGAAGCACCCTCCGCTGGGGGTCCAGGCCCTGCTACCAGCCAGGACCTTTGGCTGATGGCCCTTCCAGAGGACTGAGGGCTTCTGGACACACCCTTTCAGGGAAAATGCACAAACACTGTTCAACTGAGACCCAGGACTGTTAGAGGCTGCAGCACTGGGGGGACCCGATAACCCTGTTGGCAACTTCTAGAAGCATCAGAACAGCTCTCCTGCCTTCATGTGAAGCCGGCCTTTGCCCTCATTGCTCACCCACAGTGCATTCATTCCCAAGCACCAGGGAGGCTGCTCCAGGCGTGGGGGCAGGTGTCAACCCAGCTGTGGCATTAAAGGGCCACGGAGCAGCAATACAGACTGACCAAGGGGATGTGGGCGCTTTGGCCCTGGGCCAATGCCACTTGTATGCACTTGAATAAATAAAAAGGTTTTTCCCCCTCACTTTTTTTTTACATTTACTGTGCATTATACAATCTAAAAATAAATGAAGTCAAGTCTATGAAATTTATAAATTTTCATCACATCTCTATAAAATACTGTCACTCGTCAGCGTGACTCTCTTCTATACAGACATACCAGGCACCCATGGCTAACCTGCCCCATGCCCCGGCCAGTGCCTTGCTTGACTGCGCAAGCCCGAGACAGTACAGACATACAAAGTAAAGCACTTGCTCCCCAGCAGCCCCACATTGGAGTCAAGTACCAGACCTACCCCATGAGCACCACTCACAGCAGCCCTCCTCCGTGCAACATCCAGAGGCCGCCCACTGGCCCTTCCTCACCAAAAGGCGCCATCCCTGGGACCAGGGCTGACAATCTGGCTGGAGCGTTCACAGTGAAGGGGTGGGACAGAGGGCCTTTTCTGAAGGGCATTAAAAACCAAGCGAACCACCCTTGACCAGGAGATAGGCATGCCTTTGGTATGGGAGAGCTTGGGGATGACAGGGCAGGCGCATCAAGGACTGGTTTTGGCGTTGGTCAACCTCGAGTCAGCACCAAGAGAACGTGGAGATGGCAAGGCCTGGCGACGAGATAGCACCGGGCCCGGCTGTTGGAGTCTCTGCTGGCGGGCCAGTCCGTCCGGTCGATATCTTTATATAGATCCTCTCATATATAGTATTTACATTTCTTAATAGGTTGCCTTTATGACTTCGGTGGAATAAGTCAAAATTGTTTATACTTTTTAAAAAACGATAAATATTTTATCTAAAACTATTGACAGTATAAGCTGGAGCCAGGCCCAGCATCTCCCGCAGGTCTGCGCAGCGTGGACTCAGAGCAGAGCCTCGTCCTCGGTCCATCCCGCCATCTGGTCGGCCACCAGCCCTGCAGCCCACCTATCCTTGCACAGGTCTCGAGGTTGAGGTAGAAATCCTAGTTACCTGCAGAGACCGGCGCAGGAGGAAAGGCAGCACAGTGTTAGCATCTCACTGGGAGAAGCCCATACATCCCCAGGCTGGGAACCAAAGCCTATAGACAGATGGATGGACAGAAGGAACTTTGTTGCAAACAACGCCCTGCCATGCCCCTGGTTCAATCAGAGGTGGGAGGTCACCAGCCCAAGGCCTTTCATGGGGCGCTGGGTCCCGGCCTCCTCACCTCCCTGGTCACCACATGCCAGCTCATGGGGAGTGAGCGGGAGGTGTACCTGTGGGCAGCCCCACTGACAGGTCTGCATGCCCCAGCAGTGAGGTCATCACTGTCCAGCCTAGGGAGACCTGTGATGGGCCTGGATAAGATGGAAGGCAGGTGTCCACTGTGGATCAGGACAGGGAGCCTGACACCCAGATGCTTCCTCGTATACATCTTTGACCTCTTCAAGCCAGTGCCTTCTCTGACAGCATGAGGCCACTGTGAGCTGGAGCCACCCTACCTTCCAGACTTTTCCATCGGGACTGAGGCACTACCAGAAGGCCATCAGACTCCTGCAGCCTCATGTCTATTTCCACTTAAACACATGCAGACGGCCAAGGAGAGCAGGCAGACCTCATGCCTGGTCCTCAGTGCCAGTTAACACCTAGCTTGATCCTGGAGTACTCACCCCATAGGCTGTGGACTTGCCCAGAAAGGCCCTTTGCCCTACCAGCAGTGGCTGAGTCAGCTGCTCCAGGGCCCCAGCACCCTCACAGCCAGCAAAGGAGCAGATGGCCTTCCTGCAGGCCTCATAGACACCTTCCTTACCCCATTTCCAAAGTCAGGCCCTTCCTACACTGTTCTCTGACTCCACACTGACATCAAAATCCTTGAGGGCCAGAGGAGCACCAATCACCTGCCCAAGCAGCCCTTCCTGTGGCTGTGCTATGCTCATCCCATTACCCACAGGCCTCTGATGCATGTGGGTTGGGCCTGCACAACCATCATCTTCTGAAGGCCAGCTAAGTACCAGAGGCCTCAAATGCATAAAAATTTCCTAAAACCATGAGGTACATTCAATAAAACAGGCTGAGAGAAGCCTAAGAGTGGGCAAACAGCAACAGTGAGGTTCAGAGCTGCCCCCACGGCCCCACACTGGGGCTTCCTGGGTTCCTGACGACTGCAGACATGCAGCTGGAGGGTGGCAACAAAATGGAGCTGGACTGCACAGCCAGGACCCTGGCCGCATCCACCTCCTTCTGGTCCCCTCCATGCAGGACTTAATGCAGTACTCTGCCTGCCCGGCCTGCAGGGCCTCCCTGATCTGCTATTTCTTTGGCCTGGAGCACTGTGGGACCTGGTGGGAAGGTCCAGTGGGCACCAAGGGATTGGCCACTCCCCTCCTGAGCTCTGTGGTGGTGCACAGGCTGCACTCAGAGGTCAATATACATGGCTGCCACGGTCTCCCTTCCCGCCCTGTGCTTATTTTTTCTTAGCGCCTCTCAGAACTAATGGTCCCAGGCCCCTCTGCAGAGCCCTGTGGGCCTGTCCACTCTCTGTGGAAGAAAGGACAGGTGAGTTTCTTGTATGGGCCACCTGGTTGGGCTCTAGCCTTACCTTACAGAACAGAACGGCTAGCTAACCAAGGTCTTTATCGCGGCTTAACCCCCGCAAGGCGCGCGGCATAAGGAGGCGGCATGCCAAGGGAAACCCACACGGCGGATGGCCCCGTGGAGCTGGCCTGTGGGATCATGGGTGAGGCCTGGGCCAGAGCCAGTCCAGGCAGGGGCTGGTGGTGCACCATGAAGGAGGGGCGGGAAACCTTGTGTGGGAGGGAGGCGAGCTTGATAGATAGAGAGGCGTTAGCAGGAGGCAGAGAGGCGGCAGAGGAGGCAGGTAAGAAAGCTTGGTTAGCCGGGAGGGGCGCAAGATTCTGCAGGAGCACAGGCTCAGAGTTAGCAGGGAGCAGTGCAGGAGCAGGAGGCAAGGCAGCGTTAGGAGGAGGGGGGGGCGCGTGAAGTGCTGGTGGCCCCGCAGGGGGCCGACCCAGGGGCAGAGGAGGCTGGGGTGGGGGCTGCCTGGTCTCCACAGAGGACAGGGCCTGAAAGGAAGAGGCGGGGGTACTGGCCACCGCCTGCATCGGGGTTAAGCTCAGCGTGGTGCTGCGACAAGCAGCCCCGCTGCCGAAACTGGCTCCAAACGGATGAGTGGAGGCGGAAGGCACCGTGTGGTTAAAGATACCTGCAAACAGGAGAGAAAAACTCAGCTTCAACAGGCGGGCATTCTCCAGGCAAGCGAAGAGACACACGCAAAAAAGGGGAAGCAGACAGCAGCCGCAGCTCTGAGTGCACACAGGTGCAGGGACAAAGCAGCAGGCAGCAGGAGTGCAGGTGGCCAGGTGAGACTTACCTGCAGGATGGCCCCATGCCACACCCCCCTCAGCACTCCCTCCTAGGTTCCCAGCTGTGGGCATCTCGCCCACCTGTACCCAGCAAAGAGCCACCTATGCAGGTCTGGGACTGCAGAGGACCCAGCCAGTGGCTCCACTCCACCCGACAAAGAGCCACAGTGCAGTAGGCGCTGTGGTCACTCTCTTGCAATGCCCTGACAGTCCCCAAGGCTGTCAGATCTGATGGTGACCTCCACAGGGAGGCATGAAAGCTCTAGTCACGGCGCCAGCTCTCCTGAAGGTATGAAAGACACTGTCACAACCAGAAAGCCTGACAGGCCAACTCACGCGTGAGTGCTCTGCCCATGTGAGTCATATCTGCATTTTGTGAAAAGGAATGAGGTGGCAGGTGCAAAGTGGACACAAAGGGACACGCGGGCACAGCCTCTCACCCCTTAGGGGGCTCTGGAAGGGAACCTGTAAAGCAGTTGTGATTAAACCCAGTGGTCCAGGAGGCTTCCTTGACGACGTAGTGTCACAGACCCCAGAGCAGGTCCCATGGGACCTGAGAGTCAGACAGGAGAGACGCGCTTCTGCCTACCTCCAACTGCACCACCTGCCACACCGGAGGAAAAGCTGCCCATGGCATGAGAGTTGGTCAGTCTGGTTGCAGCGGATGAGACGTGCACTAGGCCAGCAGCAGCCGGCACAGAGCTGAACAAGGACTGCAGCACAGATGAGCCTAAGTTGGCCTGCAGGGACATGGGGCCCAAGGCAAACTGTGGGCCAGGTGCAAAAGTGCCCAGGAAGGGCCGGTGTGTCTGGGAGGAGGGGGCTGTGCCGCTTGCTGAGGACGCTGCTGTGGTGAGGCCTGGCCCGCTGAGGAGGCCCCCAGGAGGCACGGCAGCGGCAGAAATGAAGAGATTGTGGCCATTTTTGAAATCAGGCTCGCGGTCCCGGCCCTTGCCCACCTTGCCATGTGATGAGGCCTTGTCTGAGGGTGTGCACACGGGCAAGCTGACTTCTCCCTCCCTGCCCTTGACCCCCTCACCCTTCGGGCCACCCAGTCCATCCAGCTGCCTCTTGTTCACAAAGGGGCCAGGCTCCGTGCTGCTCTCCTTACCCCTCGGGGCGGAAAAGCTCAGGGGGGCGCCCAGGCTGGCCACCTCAGGGGCCTTGTGGGAGAGAGAAGCACCATCACTGAAACTGTGTAAACTGAGGTCGGCAGCCAGGCTCCCGCTGAAGGCAAAGCCGTTGGGGGGGTTGCTGATGGGACTCAGCCCGCCAGCCCCCGACAGTGCACCCGGAAAGCTCTTCCTGGGGTGGGTGGCCAGCTTGGCATCAACTGAGCTGAGCTCCTCTAGGGTGGGCCGAAAAGCGAACAGGGAGTTCTGGCTCAGAGCGGAGCTGGCCTGTAGCGGGCTGTCAGTAGCCTTGGCCAGGCCAAGGTCAGCGATGGGTGAGAAGGTGGACTTCCACTTGCTGCTGTTGATGGGCTCGCTGGAGGGCATCGGCTTCCTTCCTACCAGGCTGCCACCTGATGAGGAGAGGCAGGGGCTGAGGCCTGGGTACCTCCAAGGGGTCAAGTGGGACGGGAGCTGTGGTAGAAGGTCTCCGAGCGGGTCGGGAGGAAGCACCATAGCTCAGAATGATGGATGCCCCTTCCACCCAGAAAAGGTTGGTCCTCCATGTGGTTAGGGTGGGACGGACTACAGGAGAAGGTAAAGATGAAAGGAGTGCTTCTGTGGGAGGGCAGGTGGGTGAATGAGTCAACACAAATCAGACTTTGGCCTATTTCACCAGGAAGGAAACAGGTCTGCTGCCCAGGCAACTGAGGATATGGTACCTGGCAGCACCAAGACTGGCCTGTGGTGGGAATGGCCTTTCTAGCACCACTGTGCTCAGGAACGTCTGTGCAGAAAAGACAGGGCATGCCACCTAGCACTGGGGACTCATGCAATGGAGCACTGTTACTCACCATTTTCCAAGGTTTTCGGAGGAGATTTGCTTTCTAAGGAGATAGTTGCAATTTTTCTCTCAATTCTATCAAGAAAAAAAATATGACTGCTTGAAACCCCTGTGCATACTGAGAGCTGTATGTGTTCACTGACTTGCCCAGGGAGGTAGAGCAGCAGCAGACACACAGCTCCCCTGCCCTTGGACCTCCTTCAAGGACCACCCATGGCTGTTATGTCCATGTTGCAGCCCAATTACTGAGGGTTCAACAGCTAAAGAGGAACAGGCATTCCACTTCCCCATATACAGAGACACACACATGTCCCAGATAGAACCATCTCTCAATCTCTTTAAACCCTTGTGTTTGCCATGTCATCTATAGTATGTCATGCATGTGACACATAGGCTGTAGTACACTTCAGCAAGGTGGAATTCATAGCAGCCCCAAATTATAAATGGTGCGCATTCTATGTATCAGTGTATTATGGCCTTCTCCCAAGGACATAGAACTTCCAAATGAATCTGGAAATTGATAAGTTGGATGTGCCTGAGACAAAAGAAGACTACCCAACTGCAATCTTTAAGAACATATATATGTGGAAGAAAAACAAAATAAAATCACTTTGATGAGACACCAAAAACACAGGCAACAAAAAGAAAAAACAGATAAATGGGACTTCGTCAAAATTTAACCCAGGGAGAGAGGGGAAAAGTCATACCATAAGGGATCATGTACCTAGAACAGTGGTTCTCAACCTTCCTAATGCTGCGACCCTTTAATACAGTTCCTCATGTTGTGGTGACCCCAAATTTCACCATTACAAATTGAACATAATTAAAGCATAGTGATTAATCACAAAACAATATGTAATTATATATGTGTTTTCCGATGGTCTTAGGCGACCCCTGTGAAAGGGTCATTCGACTCCCAAAGGGGTCTCGACCCACAGGTTGGCGACCCACAGGTTGAGAACCGCTGATCTAGAATAAAGAACGCTCATAAATCAACAACAGCAAAGTACACCCAATTAAAGGAAGGGCCAAAGACCCTGGACAGACACACACAGACAGCCAACCAGCATATGAGAAGATACTCAACATGACTAGTTGTCAGGCAGATGAAAGTCAGGACCATGGTGAGACACCACTTCACACCCATAAGAAAGGAATTTACATTAAGAACAAAATCAGACAATAACAAGTGCTGGTGAGAATGTGGGGGAACTCGAACCTGAGTGCACAGCTGGTGGAAATGTACAATGGAGTGGCCACTGTGGAAAACAGGATGGCGGTTCCTCAAAAATTAAACATAGAATGACAATGTGACCCAGCAATTCTACTTGGTACGTCCGGTTGGTGTGGCTCAGTGGTTGTGTCAACCTATGAACCAGAGGGTCACAGTTCGTTTCTCCGTCAGGGCGCATGCCCGGGTTGCAGGTGGCATGCAAGAGGTAGCCAATCAATGATTCTCTTATCATTGATGTTTCTCTCTCTCTCTCTTCCTCTCCCTTCCTCTCTGAACTCAATAAAAATATATTTACATATATGACAAATTCTACTTAGTATGAGGTAAATTGAGACAAAAAACATATATGACAGTTCACAGCAGCACCATTCACAATAGCTAAAAACTGGAAGCAACCCCAGTGTCCATGGACAGATAAATGGACAATCAAAATGTGGTCCATCCACACTGGAATATTATTCAGCCTTAAAAAGGAAGGACATTCTGACACTGGCTATGACATGGATGAACCTTGAGGACATTACACTGTTACATATGAGATTCCCAGAGAAGTCAGATTCATAGAGACAGAAAGTAGATGGTGGCTGCCAAGGGCTGGGGGAGGGAGAGAATATGGGGAGTGATTGTTAAGGTCCCCTTTACCCCCCAACTAATGGCAGGTGGAAGCTGCCTGTCCCTGGGTCACACATGACCACAAGGGCCTGTCCTTCAGAACCCTGCTGGTGTACGCCCCTCTCCCAAGGGTGGAGTGCCTGCCCTGCCTGGCCCTCACCTGGTGCTGCCTTGCTCGTCCTCAGAGCCCGGCTCCTCATCTGAGGTCAGTGGGGAGTAGTGGGCTCCATTGGTCTGGCTCAGGGGCTTCTCTTTCTTAAGCACGGGTGGCTGGTCGTTGTCCTGGTAAGGTACAGGGGAGCTCTTCAGGGAGCTCTCAGGGGACGAGATGGCTGTGATTTCCAAAGGTTGGTTAATGTTGTTGACCTGAGGGATCAGCAAGACACAGCACAACTCTGTCAATGGGCTCCCACAGCACCAACCCCAATGGCTTTGCTCTGATCTTCCTGCCTAAGCTACCCCAGGCATGGAGTTCTGGGGAATCGCAAAGCCTGCCAGCTGTTCCTTCCAGCACGGGCTCCTGACCCAGCCCATCTCGGCTAGCCCCGGGAACAAGAGACCCAACGTCCAGATGCCTGCTTGTCTGTACTGGGTGGCCCCACTACCTCCTGCCCCAGACATTTGTTCCTGGCCTCACCATAGAGTTCAGGTTGAGGGGAGACCCTGAAGACTGAGTGAAGAGGCCGGCGACAGATGGCAAGGCCCGGCGCTTGGGGGACACGCCTGAGCTCAGATTGGGGGTCCCCGCTGATGCCCGCTTCCTCCTGCCCCGCTTTCGACTGTCCTGCCCATGGCTCTGACTGCTGTCTCCACGAGCACCCCCAGGCAGAGGGCTGTGCTTGTTGGAAGGTGACTGCTTGGTGCTGCTGGCACCAGCTGAGATGGTGAAGATGATCCTCCTCTTGGCCTCGCTCTCTGGATCTGAGAAGCCAACCTCAGAGGGAAGGTCCCCTTTGCTCGCATCAGGGAGTGGGCCCTGGGCAGCGCCGAGTCGGGGGCTGACGCAGAGCTGGTGCGTGGGCGAGGCTGGACCGGAGTTCCGGGGTTGCACTAGCAGTTGAGGATGCTGTGGGGTGGAGCTGCGGGAGCCCATGGTGGTGAAGAGGCTCCCCGAGCTGGAGGACTCATCGAAGACAGGGGGCTCAACTCCAGGAGCGAGTGGGGCCGGGCTGCCTGCCAGGGCCCCACTGATGGCGACTGAGCCTGCATAGAAGCCTGCCAGGACGAGAAACAGTGTTTCAGGGAAGCCCATCCCAGGAGAGGACGGTGCTGCCCCAGGTGAAACTGGTAAGGACACTAAGCCCTGGAGAAGCACCCTCCATGTCGTGGGTGCGGCCATAGATGGCAGCAAGGGACTAGGCAGGCACCCTTGGGCTGGCGCAAGCACAGGTGAGAGTGCTCAGGCATGGTGAGCTCCTTCCCATGTTTGGATCTGGCATCACTGGAGGCCCTGGAGCCTGTGTACCACTCCCCACCCTGAACCCTCTCTCCGGACCTCCCCTAGAGGCTCAGAAACCCTTGTGACATCCAACTGAGACAGAATTTGTCCTTTGCCCAGAACTCATCATGCTGCCAGCTGCAAAGTGCCCCCCCCATGTTGGAGTAGTGGGATGCAGGGAGCCTAGGGGAAGGACTGCTCTCAGTAATGGCCTCTACATTTTATTTTGTTTTTTAATTTTCAAAAAATTGATTTTTGAGAATGAGGAATGGAGAGAGAGATATTGATTCTTATATGTGCCGACGGGGATCGAACCCACAACCTTGGTGTATGGAGACAACGATCTAATCAACTGAGCTACCTGGCCAGGGCTGAATTTTATGCCTAGAAAAATAATGTCCAAACAGGCCATGGTGTTCACAAAAGTCAGGAAACTACAGCCCAGCCCATGGTCCGGCGTTTTGGCTGCCAACCTTTGCTATAGCAGTTTTACTGGCACATGCCCACCACCTGTCTACGGACTTTCACAACTAGAGTTGAACAGCTGTGACAGAGCCTCTCGGCTTCAGAGCCACAATTCCCCCCACCCTGGGGCCCTGTGTCAACACCTAGATGTGTCAAACATTGGAGCTCTCTGAAGGAGATCAGAATCCAGCTAGAAACTGGGTGGCCCCGGAGCCCACGGTGGTTTGACAAGGACAATGCCACCACACCACCCAGGCTCTAATACAGTCAGACCAAGCACATCCATATCAGGATGCCAGCCAGAGGTTCAGGTAATGCACTGAGGGCCCACCCTAAAGTCCCCGACCCCCAGGTCTCACTGTGCTGCTGCTGTTGCTAAGGAGGACAACAGTCTGGACTCAGCATAGACCCCATGGCTGGGAGGAGGTAAGCTCTGAGCCAGGCATCTCTGAGGGCCTCACTATAGACACTGTTCACACCTTATGCCCCCAGCACAGCCCCTGGAGAGGTGGCAGTGGGCACAGGTGGAAGCTGACCTATGGAGACAGGGCAGGAATAGGAGAAGCACCCTACCTGTGGGCGCCAGGGTGAGGCTTTTGCTCCCAGCAGCGTTGCTCCCAGCACCATGGGCATTAGCACCCATCTGCTTTTCAAGTGTGGACGAGGACTCTCGGGTCTGAGGCACAGGACTGGGGGTGCTTCTCTGTGGAGAGAATGCACTGTCAGCTGAGCTGGGCCCGGCATGTGAATGTCGGGGAGGGGGTCACAGGTCACAGAACATGCTGAGGACATGAAACAGGGAAAATAGCAGGTGTGTGAAAAGCAGCTCGAAGAAGGGAAAGTGACCTGCTCAGGGTGTGAGCACAGTGGGCAGCCACCAGAAGGGTCTGATCAGGGTGGGACAGATGTCTGAGTTGGGTCCTAAAGGATCATTCTGGCTAATGGGCTCAGGGTGGGGATGAAGGGTACAGGGAAAGCAGTGAGGGCTGCAGCTGGAGTTATGATCTGACCCAGCAATTTATCTCCTACGTGCAAGGAGATGAAAACACTGTCTACACAAACCTGTACACACCTGTTCACAGTGGCCAAAAAGTGCAAACAAAAAAATGTCCATTAATAAATGAAACAATACCCAAGTGTGTCCACTCACACACAAGAATATTATTCAGCCACGAAAAGGAGAGAAGCACTGATACTTGCTACAATATGGATGAACCTTGTAAACAGGATGCTCAGTGAGAAACGCTAGACACAAAAAGATCACAGTGTGTGTGATTCTATTTATGTGAAATGTCCAGAACAGGGAGACAGGAAGTGTGGGTTTGTGGTTGTCAGAGTTGGGGATAGGACACACACACAACTATGGATGTGGGTGGGACTTCCTTTGGGGGGGTGACAAAACACTCTGGAACTAGATAAGAGGTGATGGTTGCCAGCCGTGTGAACATACTAAATGTCACTGAAATACACACTTTAGATGGTGAATTGTATGTGGATTATAACTAAAAAAACAAAAACAAGAAAAACCTGCATTATATAGAGAGTCCACAAGCGTGAGGCAAGGGGAATGCAGGTATGCACTGAAGCGGATGCGCTTCAAGCTTCTGCCACATCGGGCAGTTCTATTCCTTCTCCACCCGCACACACCACCATTTACAAAAAAGGATCTGAGATAAAAATGACAAGATGTAAAAAAAAAATTTTTTTAAAAAAGACAAGATGTGCTCTGGTCAATGGCTCAATGGTTAGAGCATCGGCTTGTGCAATGAAGGGTCATGGGTTCAATTTCCAGTCAAGGGTATGTACCTGGGTTGCAGGTTCAATCCTGGTCCCTGTTCAGGGCGTGTGGGAGACAACCAATCGATGTGTCTCTCTCACATGGATGTTTCTCTCTCTCCCGCCCCCCTCCCTCCCTCCCCTTTCTCTAAAAATCAATGGAAAAAATATCCTTGGATGAAGATTAAAACACAACAAAAAAACACACCGTAAGATATTAATGTAATTAAACCTGGATTCTTGGATGCTCTATTTTTCTCAAACTTCAATTGCATGCAATTTAACAAAAAGGGACCAGGTCTTGCGGGGCAAACACCAGACAAAAGTCTCTTCTGCCTGTGCTGATACTTTCGGAGCAACACAGCATTGGACTGCCCCCGCCCCCCGATGGTGCCCACTCACTACCTTCTCGGCACGGTTGGGCAACACCACGCTGGCCAGGGGGATGCTGACGGGCAGCTTGCTGGGCTGCACAGTGCTGAGTGGAATGCTGACGGGTAGGCTGGTGATGGCCTCCCCACTGCTGGCATAGGCGCGCTCCTTCAGACCCTGCAGACACAGCAGACTGCCTGCTGCTGCTGACCTGATAACCCCAGGCCACGACACCACCCGAAGGACACAACTACCCTCCAGCCATGGACGAGGGGGCCGCTGTAGCACAGTCCCCTCATCCCACTAACACCTATCCCTCCAACTCCAACCGCTTCTCCTGACCTTCCAGGCCCCTACCTGTCACACTTTGATCTAATGTTTTTCAAACTTGCCACCTCAACAGAGACAGAGCTGCCCTCTGGCAATGCCACCCTAAGGGGGCGCTACTATCTTGCCACTTTCTTAGTCTTGCTCCTGAAGATGTGAAGCAACGGAGGGTGGGGACCTGACTAACGAAGCCCTATCCCTCCATCTCCACCCCACACTCTCCTGGTTCCACAGCCCTCACCCGGATGCCCTAACAGACACGCTCCAGATACCCTCTGAGCGTCCCCATAGCCTCGGCTCAGGCACAGGTAAGAAGACCTCCACCCCAAGAGTCCCTCCCTCCCAGTGACTGCCTGCACCTTCTCACTGCCTTTTTCTCCTGTCATCTGTAAGGCCACAGGGGATGAGGGCCGTGGGTCCTGAGGACTCAGCTTGATGCCATTGGCGAGGCCCGGGCTCTGGTATGGAAGGCCATTCTCCTTGGCGTGCTCAGTTCTGCAAAGAGACGCACACCGCAGTCACTCTCTGTGGAGACCCAGTGGCTGTGGCTTTGTGTTCAGAGCTGACAGCCTGGGCCTAGCAAACACTTCCAAACTGATGAGCAACCCTCTCAAGACCCCACAACAGCCCAAGGGCGCCAGGGGCAGACTCACCGTGGGTGTAGCTCACCAGCAGGTGTCTTGCCACTGGCAGTGTGGTCCTGGCTCAGGTGGCGTCTCAGCACCAGCTTGGCCGGGGAGAGCCTGGTGTAGTCTGGCAAGGCCAAGCCAGATAGCTTCTCGAGCCGGGGCCGGCCGCTGTGGCTGGGAGTACATGGCACCACCTCCTGGTCCAGTGGAGAGGCCAGGTACTGGGGGGTGTTCTGCTTGGACGAGGGCCGACTCAGTGTGTTACAGAGCTCATAGCTGGCCGCGTGGCCATTCATGGAGAGCTCTGGGCTCATGCTACTGAAGTGGGGCAGGGAGAATTTGGAGCAGTCCAGTTCAAGGTGCAGCCGGCTGGGTTCCGCCTCCAGTTCTCGGCCCAGGCCACCTTTCCCTCGTAGGTGCAGGGACACAGCATCATCAGGCGGCACGCAGGACTTGAGTTGCAGGAGCTCCTGCTGCCGCTGGCTCTTTTCCAGCTCCACGATGCTGATCTGGAAGAGCGAGGGTGTCAGAACCTCAGCTTGCTTGGGGGAGAGGCTCCTGCACACCCATCGAAGGCCCCAGAACAGAGGCCAGCCCAGCCCAACCCAGCAACCCACCAAAGGGGACCATCCCAGGAGGGTGAGAAGGATGCCTACCCAGAGGAACTGCAAGGAGGCAAACTTTGAGTGTAAAGGGGAAGTCTGAGCAGCCAACCACCCAAACCCGGTCAGGGCACTCTGGGTGGACGGATAAAACAGCATGTGAGTGTTAAAAGTGGTTCTGCAGATGTACATCTGCTGAAACTAAAAGACGTCCCCAGGAAAGCAAGGAACAGAGGACTTAGTGCTCTCACAAGCATACATTGGGAAAAACCCTGAAATAGCATTTCCTTCCAGGGGTCAGACACAGGGCTTTTTAAAAATATGTTTTTTTATTGATTTTTAGAGATAGACACATTGATGAGAGAAAAACAGCATTGATCGGCTACCCCCTGCACACCCCCTACTGGGGATTGAGCTCACAGGCCCAGACTTATGCCTGATTGGGGCCTCTTGGTCACTGGGTCAATGCTCAACCGGGAGCCACACCTGCCAGCCACAGGGCACTTTTCTTCTTACACTATGTTTGGGCTTTTTCTCTATATGAAAATGTATCATTACTTCATTACACAGAAGAGCCAGAAACCAAATATATTCCCTGTGAGACTTCTCTTGCAGGTTCACCCATGGAAACAAGGCCTGGCTTTTGTAGCAGTCAGCAAACCTCTTTTTTTGTTCATCCTCACCCAATTTTTTCCATTGATTTTTAAAGAGAGTGGAAGGGAGGGGATGAGACAGAGAGAAACATCAATGTGAGAGACACATTGATTGGTTGCCTCCTGCACTGGGAATGCCTGGGCCCCCTCAAAAGGGGATCGAACCTGCAACCAAAGTATGTGCCTTTGACTGGCACTGAACAGGAGACTTTAGTCCTCGGCTAATGCTCTAACCACTGAGAAAACCAGCTAGAGACAAACCTCTTTCTATGACACACACTGTTGGTGTGGTGGACAAGCAACACCTAGGCCATGTATCACAGGACCTTAAACTGCTCACAGATCTATTTTGGGGACTATATCTTTACAGATATATCCTTAAAATAAATCATGGTGCAGAAAAATTCATTGCAGTTTCATTTAATAATAAACCACTTAAAAGAGCCCCCAGGGTCTGGCGACCGGCAATGCTCCATGTTATGAAGGTGAGCTGAGTAAATGCAGTAGAACCTCGTGTGTATACATGGAGCTTTCATAATGACCAATGCTCATGCCCCACGTCTCTCTTTACTTTCCTCATTGTTACTTGTAAGTTCTGTTCTCAGGAACTCAGCCATGACCTGTGTTATGTTTTCTCCTTCCCCGAACTTTATAGCTGACCTCGATAAACGAGTTACCCTATCAGAAAAAACACAAGCTGCCTGGCTGGTGTAGCTCAGTGGTTGAGCATCGACCTATGAACCAGGAGGTCATTGTTCGATTCCCAGTCAGGGCACATGCCTGGGTTGTGGGCTTGGTCCCCAGTAAGGGGTGTACAGGAGGCAGTTGATCGATGATTCTCTCTTATCACTAATATTTCTATCTCTCTCCCTCTCCCTTCTTCTCTGAAATCAATAATAAAAGTGTATTTAAAAATAGGGGAAAAATGTACAATCTGTTTTGTTTTAATGCGCAAACACAGGTCTGTTCAGTGACTGTGTCAGAAATGCTTCACCAGGAGGCGCTCAGGCACACTTTAGGTTTAGGATCAGATGAGATGCCCTAGGGTAGGTAGAGTGGAGTGTCCACCGGCCCTACTTCTTGTTCCCCTTTAGGCTGATGATGGGGTGTTAGGCTGTTCTTAATGTGATACCAGAACTAGTACACTGTCCTTGGTAGGAGGATGGGTTTGGTGGGTCTGCCAATAGCACTGACCATGTTCCTAACACCATAGTTGAAGCCCCAAGAGGCCAAGGCAACCCCGTTCCTTGCCCCCCTACCTGCAGCTCCAGGCAGTGCCTCTGTTTCTCGGAGATCTGGCTCTTCAGGGCCTGCTTCTCCTTTAGCAGGTTCTCCAGGGACAGTGTGGACCAGTCCAACTTCAGCTCCTCACACCGAGCCTTCAGCTGTGGGGACAAGGCAGTCCCAGCCATGAGCATGTGCGGGCTATAGGGAGGACAGGACGGCCCCCTGGGACCTGCTTCCTGCCCTGACACTGGGCTCTGGGAGGAGACAGGGCAGGTGTCTAGGCAGGTATCCCTGGGGGCCAGTCCCTCTCTCCTTCCTGCTTTTGGAAGGCCAGGCTGCAGAGACAGCCAGAGACCAGGGTTCCCATAAGAAACACCCACAGGAGTATGGTGAGGGGTCTCATGGGATAAAGCAAGGGGACCCATTAGAAGGGGGGCCCCTGCACATCCAGGGGGATCCCAGGAGGAAGGACTGGGAAAGTCCAAGTCCAGGCCCCCTCAAAAGGTCCATCTAGTCCCTGGCCAGTGTGGCTCAGCTGATTGGAGCACCGTCCCATACCCTGAAAGGTGGCGTGTTCGATTCCTGGTCAGGGTGTGTATGGAAGGCAACCGATTAATGCTTCTCTCTCTCTCTCTCTCTTTTTTTTTTTTTTTTTTCCATCTAGTTCCCTGGCCATGTGGCTCAGCTGATTGGAGCACCGTCCCATACCCTGAAAGGTGGCGTGTTCGATTCCTGGTCAGGGTGTGTATGGAAGTCAACTGATTAATGCTTCTCTCTCTCTCTCTTTTTTTTTTTTTATAGCAAAGGTGGAAATTTATTGAACAACAAGTACAGACTCCCACGTGGGGAAGGGAAAAGAATCTGATAGCACAGACAACCTCGGGGGGAGGGGGGAAGAATCCCTAATGCTTCTCTCTTATCTCAATGTTTTTCTCTAAAATCAATGAAAACTATATACTTGGGTGAGGATTAAAAAAAAAAAGTCCCATCTAGTAAAATCATGAGTCTTTGGACGCCCCTGAAAGGAATTTAAGAAGCCACATTCCGGGGCAAGTTCAGCTCATGCTCATGTGCTCTGAGAGCCAAGTAAAGCTGTGCCAGCATTCCTCAAATGAACTAGGTCAGAGCCATGGGGAGGGGCCCTGGTCTCACTCGGACTAAGGCGGTCACGGAAACTCAGGACGATGTGCTGGAGCCCCGGAGGCAACCTCGGGTTATCTGTCTTGGGACACACATCAGCACCTGGGCCTCCAGACCCATCAACTGAGGGACACCTGGCCCTCCCCCTGGTCTGAGGTCTAAGGATTCTGCTCGCTCTGGAATGTGCTGGAACTGCTGTCTTCTCTGGGCACCCACCAGCTGCAGGCTCTGGCTTCTCAGCTCCCTGTTGTCCTTCTCCAGCTGCTCCGTCTGCTCTCGCAGCTGCTGGTTGTGAGCTGAGATCTCTTTCTGAGCTTGGATCAGGTCACTGTAGGTCAGCGCCTTCACTCCCAACTGTGGACACACAACAGCAAGGCTGGGCTTGTAGGGAGGTGCAACCATGGTGGGGAGGGGAAGGGATTGGCTTTCGCCCAGACAAGACCGGGTGGCACTGTACTAGTCATAGACAGGAGAGACTAAGTACAGTCCCCCAGAGAGGGAACAAGGGGGTGACCTCAAGACACAAGCCTGTGCAGGCCCCATGAGGGGCTGCTGGGAGCAGCCTTCTGTCCAGAGCCCGAGTTCTAGACTACCAGAAAAAAATATCTGAAAGGAAACAGTCCTTCTTATCTCAGTTGCCCTGGGCTGTGCCCCCCGCCCAGCCCCTGCCCACCCCTCAATTCTGTACTTGAGTCATCCTGGCCTCAGGTAGCTCTACCTCATCCAGTTTCTGCTGAAAAAGCTTCTTTATTTCTTCTTTCTGGGCCTGGCAGTGACCGAACAGCTGCTGTGCGGCACCCAGCAATCGGGCATTCTTCTCCTGCAGGGGACAGAGGGCTGGTGAGTGAGCCCAGCCCACACCATCTCTTCCCTCAAACAGGCTCAAAGGAGGAGTGCTGATGGGACACTGCCCAGCCCATCTCACTGATAAAGACCACTGTCCATTCCCTGACCTCCGAGAGCTGCCACCTCCCTATGCTCACAGGTGGCAACACATGCATACACCGGGCACGTCGGCTGGTCCTCCATCTGAGACTTTATCGGAAGGTGGTACCAACTCAGTGGCTATTTGAGTTACTAACTGGGGATGACAGACACCTCTCAGCACGGGCAGCAGCAGGCCCTCTGGGCAGGGACAAGGGGACGTAACAGGAAGCAGGGCATGTTCTGGGCGGGGTGGGGTTGTTGGGGGGTGGCAGGCTGGGGGCTTGCCTGGCTCACCCCTCGGCAGAGTGCTGGGAACACAAAAGCAGGCACCCCTCACCTTCTCCTGGTCCAGCAGCTGCTGCAGGCTGGCCTTGTACTGAGGGGTCTTCGTGTATGCCAGGAACTGCAGGTACTGAATCTTGAAGGACTCTAGAACCGGGGACAAGGTCTCAGTACAGAGGCTGGAGGCTGTGTTGGTAGGGGAAGCTTGGGGGCACTCGTTGTCAGATGCTGCTGAAAATCACCTGTCACTGTGCCAGCACCTTTGGCTCCACAATGCCTTGGCATCACCACTCACCTGCACCTATGGCTAGTGTCCCCATGGAGCCCTTTGCAGTTCCTGCCATCACCACGCACATTTTCTTTCTCCCCAAGACTGCGGGTTTCTGTGACCAAATCTCCCAGTTTTCCCAGTAAACACATGCTGTTGAAGTGGGGAAACTGATGGCTCCCACAATTCAAAGGCATTTCCTTCACCCAGTTTTCAAAAGAGATGAGAAGCTTATCGGTCAAGCACCGCAAGGTGAGCAGGTGCCTGCTCCCTCACAGCCCCAGCTTATCCCTGACAGGCTCTTCCCACACTCTAAGAACTATGGGGCTGGGTCATTATGTGGGGCTGTCCTGGGTACTGTGGGGAAGTGAGCAGCATCCCTGTCCCCCACTATATACAGGAGCACCCCCAATATAACCACAGATGTCCCCAGACATGGCCCAGTGTCCCCTGGGGGGCAGAGCTTCAGCCTAAGAAAACCACACAGGTCCTGCTGGCCTAAAAGCCCAGGCACCACCTGGCAGGACTGAGCCTGAGCCCTCGGGACTCTAGTGTGGTCAGCTTGTTGCAGGTATCACAGAGGGCTTGCCAGAGAGGCAGAACCTCGGACCCGCCCCTTCCTCTCAGAGCTGTTAAGTTAGAATCTGCACATGAACCCACAAAATGTTTGCGGCGCCAGCTCACCTAGCAGCTTCTGCAGTGCGGGCGGGGTGGGTGCCAGCAACAGCTGGTCAGGGGGGTGCCGCTGCACGCTGGGAGGTAGCTGATAAAATGGGCTGTGAGGTGACTTGTATGCATCTGCAGGAAACAGCAACATTCACGTGTCAACACTGGAATGCCCTGAGGGAATTCCAGATTGTTCTAGGGAACTTTTCGAGCCTTTTAAGAAAATGTATTTTTATTGATTTCAGAGAGGGAGAGAAAGATAGGAACATCAATGATGAGAAAGATTCATCGATGAGCTCCCTCCTACATACCCCTTACTGGGGATAAAGCCCGCAACCTGAGCATGTACCCTGACCAGGAATTGAACTGTGATTTCCTAGTTCATAGGTCAATGCTCAACCACTGAGCCACACTAGCCAGGCTTTTCCAGCTTTTTAAAAGATAAGACTCGCCCTAACCGGTTTGGCTCAGTGGATAGAGCGTCAGCCTGCGGACTAAAAAGATCCCAGGTTCGATTCCGGTCAAGGGCATGTACCTGGGTTGCGGGCACACCCCTAGTAGGAGGTATGCGGGAGGCAGCTGATCGATGTTTCTCTCTCATCGATGTTTCTAACTCTCTATCCCTCTCCCTTCCTCTCTGTAAAAAGTCAATAAAATATATTTAAAAATAATAATAAAATAAAAGATAAGACTCAACACAGCTCTTACAGTCCAAAGGCATAACCAGATACTGCATCTCAGCAGTTCTAGAAGCTGAGACGAATGCCCTCACAATGTAAGAAATGTCTGTGAGCAGTGCTATTTCTGCCATAGCTGCTGATGTTATCAAAGCCCTGGATGGCAGGATGTGATGGAAAAGCCCCACCAGGATTTGCTCTTGGCAGATTATCTGGGTGGAGTGAGGCCCAGGCGAACCATGAGGACATCATGAGGTGCCCTCTGGAGCATGACCCATACAGCCTGAGCGGCCCTAAGGAGGGCTCTGGGGCCTGGCTCACCTTGTGGTGAGGGCGTCGCCGTCTGGGACACAGTCTGGGCGTGCAGGAGGTCCAGTGCAGTAGGGTTCTTCTTGGGCTTACGCTCAGGGTTCGCAGTGCTCATCTTCTTGGGACGTCCGCGCTTCCGTCCAGCCAGCTTCCGGCCCTTCTTGTTCAGCTTCTTCTTCCGTGCTTTGGAGGGGGATGGCTTCTTGATAGCGGTGGTCGCTGCTTTCTCTTCCTCAGCACCAGAATCCTAGTGAACAGAGGTCATTGAGAGAGCAATGCTCCCACCCCTCTTCCCATTAATAATGAGCCCACAACACAGGCTCTGGGAGAGCAACTGAACAGAGGCACCTGAAACCCAGGAACCCCCTTCCCTCCTCCAGAGCCCAGTGATCAGTCAACCCACATGTGCACTGAGCAGGACCACCTCTCTGGTTGGAAGAGCCCAGCCCCTCTCTCTATAATGAGGGCTGTGCCCATCAATAGCCCTATGGGGCCCCAAGCCCAAGAGAAGGGGTTGGAGGGCACTTACCACAGAGGTGTCCGCAGGCACAGCCGCCTTGCTCTCAGGCACCTTCGTGGGGGTGGTTGTATTACTCTTGTTTTCTCGCTGCTGCCGGCGCCTAGCTGCCTCTTGTTCCTCCTGGAAAACAAGTGTTGGACATGTCCCCCAAAGTGTCAACATGTCCTCCAAAGTGTGGGCATGACCCCAAAGTGCCACCGAGGTGGGCTACCTGGCCCAGCTCTGCTCAGGCCAACTCCTCTGCCTGCTGTACAGAGGAAAGTAAGGCACAGAGGAGCACGTGAACCGTCCCAAGCCTTAGCCAGCCACGAGCCATGTGTGCATCTACTGCCTGGGTGCAGACACCCTAGACCTCTCAGTCAGAAACCGGAGGCTTTCTGACCTGTGTGTGACATGCGCGAGGAAATAAAATCAAAGATAAAAAGGCTCTGGGTGCACACAAAGAAACTGCCTGACAGTCCTCTCTCCTCTCGGGGAGTACAGGGACCCCCACTGAAGTACATCTCTGCTAAGTGAGGGTTACTGGAACGGCTGTAGGAGAAGGAAAGAGGATGGTGCTGGCTGGCTTAGTTTGTTCTTTGTGCTGAGGGTGGGTAACCTCATTAAGACCCAGATATCCCAAGTATGGCAGGAATAACACAGGACTCTAGGTCATGGGGATTTCTTCCTGCTCAGATGCTTGTCTGAGTCTCCAGAAACACTGACATTTGGACAGATGTACTCTGAGGTCCGAAGGAGGCAGGTTTGAGGACTGGGCATTGCAGGGACACTGGGATAGGCAGAACCACCACGTCAGAATCTAGGCCACTCCCCTCTAGCAAGTGTGGCGTACTACTTAGAAGCAGTTGCCTGTTTAGGAAGAGGAACATCTTGTGTTCCAGACGTGGTGGGTCAGTGTGGCTCGAGCACCTCCCTCAATCCTGCACTTGGCACACTTCACCAAGCTATCGTAGCGTTCAAAGGTCGAGACTCATTCAACCTAGTTTCCAAAAGACTACTGATAGGAAGTGTGGCCCCGATGGAACCATGACCCCTGTCCCCAAACCACCACTCCCCATCTACCACTGGGAGTTCCATCAAGCTCATCAAGCAGCATACTAGTGATGTTCAATGAGGGAAACACATACTTACCCTGAGTTTTGGATTTTTCAGACTAGAAAAATAGTTTTCAAGCTAAAAATGAAAAAAGAAAGGAAAGAAGTCTTATTAGACATCAGTCCCAAACCCTGTCAGGACAAGAGCAACACCTGAGACACGCCACATGAAATGTCGTTGGAGCTGTCACGGGGATACACCTTTGCTCAAAGACCCACAGGTTCCCACTCTCAGGGGCTGTGCAGACCCGTAGGGCCATCTCACATGAAGCAAGCTGGGTGGGAACCAGGCTGCCCAGTTCAGGGGCTCCCTGGACACCAAAAGCCTCTGACACTGGGGTCAAATCCATTATTATTACATCATTCGGGACAGTGTCTGCCTCATATAAGGACTGGGAGCAAAGAGGGAAGACAAAGAGTTCCTGGCTTCCACTCATGCTATGGCACAAGTGTCTCAGATCCTCCAGGGAGAGTGCCGTGGGGCAGGCGGGAGGGAAGGGGGAGGAGGCTTTCTGGGAGGGCCTGGGCCTCACCCACACGGACACTTACTATGGTGCGGTCGATGGTGTGCAGGTAGTAGGAGACGGGCTTCCCCGTCCACGACACTGAGCCCTTCAGGGGCGAGAGCTCCACGACGCGCATGATGGTGCCGATGTCTGCAACGACGGGCACAGGTTAGGGCCTTGTGCACCTGGGGGAATGACTCAGGCGAGGCAGGAAGGGAGCAGAACCGCGCGCCCTCATCACGTGAGGCCGTCCCACTCGCCAGGCCGGTGAGGTGCCTGGATATCAGCACGCTGGCAGGTCAGGGAGGCGCACGGCGTGCACAATGATCCCCGCTAACCCAGGTGCTTGTCCAAGGAAAACGGCAACGAGCCTGACTGGGTGGGATGGAAAAGCACTTGAGGACCACTTGAAAAGAACACGGCTACTAAAATGCCCAGCACCCGAGAAATTATGACCCCAAGGCCAGGTGCCACAGAGCAACATGGCTCTTCCCCAGGAGGCCAGAGGTCCAGCTCTTCCTGCTGAAGGTTTCTGCACCTGGAGCCCATCACACACACCAGCCATTTGCCCCTCAGGCCAATCAGATACGAAAGCAAAGCAGCTTGTAAACCACTGAATTTTCATAACCTGGAGTCAAACGTGTGGGGTCTCAACCTGGGTGGGCAATGTGTAGGGATATCTGTGGTGGTCAAGACAGGGGTGTTCCTGGCATTAAGTAGGTTCCCAGGAAGCTCCCACAGAGATGACCTGGCCCTGAAATCAGCAGTGCTGTGGAGGGACCCTGTACTAACATGTGTTAAATGCTTAAGACCATATATATGGCCTGGCCAGTGTTGCTCAGTGGTTGAGCATTGACCTATAAACCGGAAGGTCACTGTTTGATTCCTGGTCAGAGCACATGTCCAGGTTTCAGGCTCAATCCCCAGTTGGGGGCGTGTCAGAGGCAGCCCATCAATGAGTCTCTCATCATTGGTTTCTACCTCTCTCCCCTTCTCCCTTCCTCTCTGAAATCAATTAAAAAATCTACATATATAAAAAAGATCATCTGAAGAATTTAGCAACATGAGAGTTTCTTACCACTCAAGTTTCTACTGTTTATTCTGAAGTTCAGAGGTGCAAAGGGCTTCGAGGACACAATTCTGCCACCTGAAACATAAAAGCTGATTATTGCCTTTCATGGGGAAAACCGTCATACACATAAGGAAAGGATGATGGAAGTTAGAGCAGGGGAGGAGAAGCCAAAGGAAGAAATGAGCACACTGAGCACACAAGTAGCCAGGGACCAGGAGTCCTTTCCGTTTCCTACAAGTAAAAGCAAAATTAAGGTATGCTTAAGCCTGACCCACTAATGGCTTTCCTGTAGAAACTTGCCCAAGGCCTCCTGAAATCCCACAGATGCCGACCTCTGACCCAATGACCCCCACCTGCATATATGTGTCTCATCACTCACACTGAATCTGGGAGACATCAGCAGCCCTTATGCCCACCCAGAAAGAAACAGCCTGACTTGTGTATCAGGTTAGGAACTGCCACACAGAAAACACTAATGCCCCATGTTAGTGTGGTTGTTCCAGAGGAAACGGACTGTCACACCTGTCACAGTGAGCATATGTGAGTGGTGCTGTTCATGTTACAATTACGACAGCATTCTACATGGACTGGAGAAAACACTAAAGTAAACATGTTAATGCTAAACTTTGCAGTGTCAGTAAAAAGAGTCAAATATAAAAGTTACAGAAAATAATGTTTCATAAATCCATTTAAGTCATACACACACACACATACACACACACAGCCATACACATGAACACTCCCCCATAACACCCCAGTCAGAGGTGCTCCCCAGTGATCAGACTATTCCTGAGCACCACCCCCACTAGGAAAAGGAAAGGATGGATCCCAGGGCCAGCCTGGTGCAGGGTCAGGAGACCACGAGGGGTATTCACAGTCATAAGAGCATCTAAGTGTGGGGGACACAATGAAATAAAACCCAGGGGTCCACAGACCGCTTTCATTAGGAATCTGCCATCCTGTGATGCTCACATGACAGTGCATGCATGAGGGGACTTCTGAGGGCAAGTCACTATAGGACAACAGATCCTAATGACTAGAGGGTTTAGCAGGCAATCCTACCCCTGAGCCGGCCCATGTGTGACAACCAGGCTTTGAGACCTGCAGGAAATGGGGCTCAGAGGGGCAGGGTCAAGCTCACCATAAGGGATAAGTCCAGTATGGATGACATCCCACAGGAAAATGAGCCCAGATAACCCATGGACACTGTCAAAAAAGATGGAGGGGCCATTTTCTAATAAAACTACACAACAGGCCAAGGCCCGAAGGCCATTTGTGACTATTGGCTGAAGAGATGGGAAAAAACAAAAGAGAAGCTGGGAGAGTTCAAGGAAGGGTGGGACCCAAAGGCCACAGGAATCCCAGTCCTCTCCTCTCCTTGGGGTATACAGGTGCTGAGGGAGGGGCCTGAAGGCTCAGGAGATGGTGTGTGTGCAGGGTGCAGTGGACAGTGGCTGCTCCCTCTTACAGTGATTAAAAACAACCATGCACACACATACACATGCTCACCTGTACACAGAATGGGATCACACATGCTCATACACCCACATGAAACTGGCTGTGTTGAAGGCAGATGAAAGTTATCTGTGTCTATAACCTTCCCCCTCCCCAACCCAGATCTGCGCTGGGCTGCTATCTGACCTGGGATAGAGGAAAGGGAGACAGAGGGAAGCAGTAGGGTAGCTCTGGACAGGTGACGGTGGTTCCAAACACCCTCAGAAAATGCAGAAGGGCCCAGGATGGATATCCCAGTGCCCTCAGTGCCCCCAGGTTAGGGTTGCCAAACAAACAGGGACACTGGTCTGAATTTCAGATACATATGATATACCTTTAGTAAAAGCTGGGACATCCTCACACTGAGAAGCTAGTTGTTGTCTATAGGAAATTCACATTTAAACGGATAGCCTATATCTTACTTGCTCATCTGGCCACCCACCCCAAGTCCCTCAGGCTGGCTGAGCAGTGTGTGGGGGGGAGGTCAGGTCTATTCCATTCCAAATTCTAAGCTGGGATGCACCCAGCCCGGTACATCAGGTGACAGTGAGAGCCACAGTGAAGGCATCTCCACTGCCTGAAGCCTTCCGATTGGATCTGAAATGGATGGATATGAAAACTTAGAACTCCCACACCTGTAATCGGTGTCAAATCTAGCCAGACCAATGAGTGGCGGCTCAAGAAGCACGGTGAGCCTGCTGCAGCCACATAAGGGTGGAGTTGAGGGAGAAGTACGTTACCTTCCTTCATGTTTGCAAATCGCTCCTTCAGCTGGTGATCCACCTCAGGACCAAAGGCAAAGTTATTCACAAATATAACACTGCAAAATAATATTCCAGTTGAGTAAAACGAAGGTTCCATCTTCACGTGTGTATACAGTGCCAGTGCATATGCTGCCTATTGCTTCCACTGCCAGCTCCATTGTGAGGCCTCCCCAGGCTCTGCCCACACCACTTCCACCCGGCCCAGGGAATGGGCTCCAGCTGCCCAAGTTTGTTGCTAATGTACAATAATTTAGAAATTTCCATGACCACTACATTGCTGGCCTCTCTGAAAAAAAAAAACAAAAACCACCAAAAAACCAACAAAACAACAAAAACCCCACAAGATGAACATGTGCAGGCCAAGGTGGCCCCGGTCAACCTGTCCTAAATGGCTGGTGGCCCCTGCCTGTCCACCATGAACTTTCTAGATTGGAATGCAGGCAGCACAACTGTAACCTAGGGGCAGGGGCGTGAGGAGAACCAAATATCCAGGCAGGAAGGTAGCACGACTGAGTCAAGCTACATCTGAACGTGACACCCAAGGACCCTTGGGACCAGAAGCAAAGCTCTTCCAAGGGACGGTGTAACTCAGCCTGTCTAATTTTTTCAAATGGTCTCCGGCACCAGACGACCAAAGGAACTTCGATCTGCAGATGCCTGCTGGGATGGCTGAGGAGATTGCTGCCCCGCCAGGAACAAGGAGGTGTTCCCCTGCCTACTCCCTCACCCACCCAGCCCGGCCCTTGCCCATTTAGAGGAACTCTCTGAATGGCTAAATGCTAGAAACATCCGTGAAGACGCAAAGACAAGACAGACAGTTTCATACTTAGAGTCACGTGGCTCTCCTCTCTGCCGCAAGTGCCTCCAGATTAAAACTGTGCCACGGCAGAAACTGGGCCACGGAGAGCAGAACTGCAGACATGGGGTCACTTCCTCTTTTGAGCGTTACAGAAAATGAAGTGAGCTGTCATCTCCATGCTGCTTGTTTTAATGAAGTCTCAATAGCTTTAAAATCAAGAAATCTCAACCCTTTACAGCAATCAGGTGAAGGAGCAGTAACAGAGGGCCTGACACGTGCAAGGGCAGAGTGGCAGGAAGGATACTGAAGGGATAAATAAAGGCCAGTACTCACTCTCTGCTCAATCAAGCAGAGAGAAACAGAGAAGACAGTAAGATTTAAAGTGGGATGGGGGCACCCCAGCTGCCGATGGGCAGAGCATGATGAGGACAGGTAAGCCAAGTTAGGCCATGGCCCTACTTGGAACAGAGCTTGGGAAGGCTGGACACCAGAGTCTTAAGGTGACCAAAGCCATGAGAGGGCAGAACCAAAAAGGCTTTGAAGAAGGAGGCTCCAGACACTCCTGCCCTCTCACATTCAGACCTGAGGAAACCAGAAAACTAATTGAGGCAGAGGTCACACCTGACAACAAAAGCACTGGTGGGGAGGAGACACCCTTGACAGAAAACAGAGTACCTGGTGGACATCCAGGGGACGCAAGTAGGCCCGGCCTTGGGCCCTCACCCACAGGACCATCACAGGCCAAGCGGACGATGGGCAGAAGAGGAGCAGGGTGCAGTATGCTCTCAGGAAGCTGTCACTGGGATGCCCAGAAGACAGGACACTGCAGCCTGGATGGTGTCCTGGGCAGTGCTTGGTGAGTATGGGGTTCTCCCCACTGGAGAGGTCTCTCATTGCATTCAGACCCCGTTCAGCCCACCACAATGGCAGCACGGATCCTATTCGATGGGGATATCCACAGAGTCATCACAATTCTCTCAAGAAGATGAGGAGGACCTAGTCATTGCGGGACAGTGCGCTCACAGAAGCAAAAAAAAGAGGACACTTCTATGAAAGAGCAATGCCTAGTTCCTATTTGCCTCAAGAATCGCACAGTGGGGAACATAGGGCAACCTATAGTAGGTGCGCCCAGAAGAACAGGGAGAGAAGGACAAGACAGCAGGCTAGACTGAAAGCCTGGGATCCACCCCGCCAAGGCTGGCCCACCACTCCCCAGGAAGAGCACTTCAGAGGATGCAACGTGGCCTCACAGATCACCATGGTCCTGGCTACCTCGGCTGATGCATAGAAGACCTTCACACTCCAGCACTGCCTCCTGCTCATCCAGCGAGACCCGTCAAATCTGCAGCTATGCTAGAGGTGAGGGGCAGAGCACAGCAATCCATCCTGGCATATCTTAGCCCCAGCCTGAGGCCAGCAGAAGGACAAAGGGAAAATAATAAGAGAGAGGGCAGGCAAGAACTGTACACACAGCTACAGGAGCTGGTGGACATGGAGGTCACACCTCAAGTCCTCGGTTGAAGGGTCTGCTGGAGCTGGGATGGCTCTGGGATGGCCTCTCATCCAAAGACCAGGCAGGCAGACCTGCCAAGCAAGCTCAGGGTGTTTCCTGCCAGGCTGTTCACACCCATACTACACTCCCCCCCACAGCGAGTACAGAGAAATAGCCTCCCTCCAGTAGGCACAGAGCACAGTGTCCACGTGCAGACACAGCGAGAGCTGAGCTCAGGGCCAAGATCTCCGGGCAGTTTTCCCTCCCTGGCTGCAAAAGTAGGAAAGGGCCCTTCCTGATAGGCTGCGAGGGGCCAGCCACACTGGCCCTAGGCTGGTCACTGACCACCTGCCCTGCTGACAGCCCTGAGAGTGACTCTTGGCAGCCTGAACCAGAAGGGAAGAAGAGAAGAGAAGCTCCAACTGCCTCTGCCATCTAGTTCTGCTTTGAGAAAGGCAGCCATGCCAACCACACAGGGACCTGAGAAAGCGAGATCCCCCCACCCCCCGGGGGTGCCCTGCTCAGTCAGGCCCCAGCACTATCCTCATAGCATTGAGTGGCTACTCCCAAACCCGCCATACCTTGTGTTGGCGATCCGCTCTCTCCACTCCTCCGAGAGGAAATCACCTCTTTCCAGCTGAAAGGAAGAACACAGGGACAAGAGCTCATCACGGGTCTCTCTTGGCCCCTGAGCCAGCCTCCCACCTGGCGAGGAACAGATGAAATGAGCACAGAGTCACTAAAATGGGCAGACCTTGAGCTAAGACTGAGGCATGGCTGCTGGCAGCTCCACAGGGAGGAGGAAACAGCTGGGGATAAACAGAGACCACACACTGCAGTATGGGTCACCATGAGCTCTGGAGTGGGTACCCTGACTAGTGCTAGAGCGCCCATCCCAGAGGGCCAATGCACAGAGCAATGAAGACACTAGAGAAAGTGCCCAGAAGTCGCCATGTCTTGTTCACTCATGGCCAGCAGGGGGCGCTCCCAACACATGGCCTGCAGAGCCAGGGAAGGTCATCACCCCATCACAGCGGGGCTGTTCAGGACAGAGGGTGGGTTGGCAAGGGCTACAAGAAACCTGTATTGGGCACACAGGGGAGTGTCCAGGACACAGACCACTGACCATGAGAGACATGGCATAGGCTAGGCTTCTTGCTGTGACACGAAACACACCTGCTGCAGCTCTCTGACCTGCTTTACCTGAGAACAGCGCCGTTTGGAACTTCAAAACCTGCTTTCAGCACTGCTTTTATTAGCAAACTAATGTCATTCTGCCTCAAGGACAAAGTCTGTCCAAGAGGACACAGTTCTAAATAACTGAACTGTTCAGAGCTGTAACATTTTCCAAAACAAGAAAATTAGTTCTGTAATTCTTCAAAGGCTATCACCATCACTCCATGGTGTCTATCCAACACAACTGAAAACATGTCCACACAAAAACCTGTCCTTGGATGTCCAAAACAGGATTCTCAGCAACCCAAAGGTGGAACAACCCAACGCCCATCCACGGATGGACAGATACACACACATGACCTATCCATACACTGAGTATTGCTCAGCTATGAAAAGGAGTGAAGTACTGACACTTGCTTACAACATGGATGAACCTTGAAAACACGATGCTCAGTGAGAAAAGCCAGAGCCAAAAAGTCACCAAGTGTGTGATTCCATTACTGTGAAATGCCCAGAATAAGCAAATCCACAGAGACAGGAGCTGGGTTAGTGGTTGTCACGGGCTAGGGGACTGCTGGTGGCCCCTCATCCATACCACAAGTGCTCTGAAGTGACCAGGAACCTCTTCTCGAGAAGACAGCAGGTGCCCAATGGGCACTGCATCTCTCTCAGGAAGACCCTGAGCAAAGTGTCCTTACAGGTGCTACTGCCGCAATGCAGTGAGACCATGTGTCCAGGGCAGGAGCAGCTGCAAATCCTATGTCCTCCAGTGTACACAGGGAAACCACCCAGGATATCTTGTGACATGATGTGATGGGGTGGCACAGGGCATGAGGAAGTGGCCTGTTCTCTAAACCACTCAGGTGCTGTGGGAGGACCCGCCCACAGACTGGTTGTATCCTATCTCTGAATCCTCTCCCCACCTGAGGAACATTCTGAATCTGCCATGGCTACCAGTGAACACCCTAGCCAAGATATGGGGAAGTGACTCGAGGCCAAAGTCCTCACTGGAACGGTATAAGACAAAGCTCCCAGAGCAGGCCTAACATCTATCTTCTATCTGTATAAACCACAGCCATGAGGATGACTATTTGCTTTGTCCTGGGTCTTCCCTGCAAATCCACAAACCTGGGGGTGATCCTGACGACCCTGATGCAGGTGATTTAGGCTCCTCCTGGTGTGGCCTCTCTCTCCCTGGAGGCTCCCCCATCCAGGCCACAGTGTTTCAAGCCACAGCACCACTGCTCCCTTTGACCTCATACTCAAGGCAAGGAAGCAGCCATAGTCCTCGCCTCTGCCTGCCAGGCCCCACCGCTCTTGTGCCATGACCATCCAAGGAGTGACTGCCTAAGTGGGCTCTGTGTCACTGAGGCCAATGTGCCTGAGCTAACTCTGGCCATAAAGATGTGCACATTACCTCCCCCCCCCAAAAAACCTTGTGACTGGCCCCCAAATCACTGAGTTCTCCTATTTCTCCCATCTGTGGAGACACGCATGAGGGAAAGGAGAGATGGGAGGAGCCCCCAGCACGTACATCATCCTTTCCACGGGGAAACCAGATTTACTCGTGTTCCAAGCCAGCAGGTAGGTCCGCAGTCTGACTCAGGCAGGGTGATCACACCCCTGTCCCAGCCAGCTCCGCCTCACCACAGACATCCTCCTGGGAGCCACCACCCACACCTCACAGAATTCACATGCTCTCAGCATCCAGGAAAAGATCATGGTCTGTATGAAGCATCCACTCCAATGGGGTGACCAAGGCAGGCCCCCCTCAAAGCCACGTGAGCAAGAACCACTGATAGGAGGCTCTAGGCTTTGTCGTTCTGCCAATCTGCCCGGAGCAGTCACAGATTTATACAGACAACGCCTAGCTGAACTGCCTGACTTCCAGGGACTCAACCCAGGCAGGATCGGAGTAAAGGTGCCAATATCTCCAGAACGCACGCAGCTCACAGATGACTTTCCTAAGGACAAAGCAGCCAGCATTCCAGTGCCCGGCAGCTCTGCACCTTCTAGGTCTGCCTGTCAGCAGCACTAGGCTGTCCTAATGTGGACAAGCCTGAAGGGAGCAGCTCTTACCCAGGGGGAGGCCCTGAGACACTTCCCGGAAAGGCACCTATCCCCGGGTGCAGAGGCAGGTCCACAGCTGCAGGGCGCCTTTCACACGCAGCACTTCCGTGAGGCCGTAGCTGCCCAAAGTGTCACACATTGGATGAGTGAAACCTGTGTGCCAGGCCCATCACTGGGAACCAAGAGCACATAATCAGGTTGTGAGCAGATGACTGAGGTACTGCAGGGTTCTGGGCATCAGCTTGGGCAGAGCTGGATGAAGCATCTCCCAGGTGGAGGTATGACAGAGAAGCAGACAGAGCCAAGTGGAAGGAGCGGATAAGGCACCAATGGAAGGAGAAATATGAGTGGGCAGGAAGGTCCTAGACACTGGGAACTGCTGGGCTGCAAGACAGGGAGGGTCAAGGGCAGAGGCTGGCCTTGCCTGCCTGGGCGGTACCTCTGCAGATCGAGAGGGAAACAGGGGAGGAAGAGGGCCACCATGGATCCTTGGCCCTGTGAAGTAGGCTCTGGGGCCTAGAGAAATACACTGGGCTATTTTTAGGCTCCTGTTGGCTTTGTTTGCTCTCCAGTTCTTAAGTAACAGGAGGCAAGACTGCACTTGCCAACCCAGCGCCTGGTTGAAGCCACAGAAAGCTCCTGGGACTTCTCTCAAGACCCAGGACACATTCCTGCCAAATCCAGGCATCCAGCAATCAGGCAGATTCTCACCGCACTCTCTTGGAGCAGGGCTGCACCCAACAGAACAAGCTCCGGAAGCAAGCGAGAAGACACCAAAGGCATAGATGGCTGCTCAGCCTGCGGCCAGCTGTTCCAGATCCCACCAAGACAGGAACCAAGTGTCCTTTTAGTCAAATTCTACTCCCTGACACTTTGCAGGAGCCACATTGGGCTAATGAGCACCCTAAGCCCCATGAGACCCCAAGAATGAGATGGTTTCCATGCAGGGAGCTCTCCTGCGTGCCCAACGATATAGCACAATGTCCAGACGCATTACTGACCCCCAAACACCCACAGGGCTAGGGGCTGCCACTGGATGGTGACAGAAGGAAGAAGAAGAAAGGATAAATGAAGTGCCCAGGGCAAGCTCCCCCCTCCCCCGCAGCTTCCTCCAAACCGCAGAGTGCTGAAGGCAACAGGTGGATTGATCGGGGCTGTTCTGGGAACCAGGTAAATAAAAACTCTTATACTGTGTGCTTGGAACTGTTGGGCTCACTCACCAGAAGCAGAAAGTATTTTTTGAACTTAAAAACCTGTGTTTTGCCCTAGCCTGTGTGGCTCAGTTGGCTTGGCATTTTCCCATGCACCAAAAGATTGTCAGTCGGCACATGCCTGGGTTGCGGGCTTGAGCCCCGGTGGGGGGCAGGTGGGAGGCAGCCAATCAATGTTTCACTGTCACATCAATGTTTTTTCTCTCTCTCCTCTCCCACTCTCCCTCCCTCTCCAAAAATCAACAAAAAGCTTTTTAAAAAGCCCCAAAATACCTTGTGTTTTAAGGAAGCCATTAAGTGTTAAGAAAATGGTTAGCTATCTGGAACTCCCAACCAGCAGATACAACAATCAGGTGGAAAGATGTTTCCTGGGAACAAAAAGCAGCTGGACTTACTACCCAATCAGCCTGCAGGACAAATGCCAGAGAACTTTAGGTGTTGGAGAAACAAGAGAGGTCAAAGGAGATGACTCCTCACCTTTCACTGTGTGGAAAAAATCTGGAAGACATTCCACCAATAAAAAGGGAAGGAGAGCTAGGCCCACCCCTGAATGTGCAAGTCCTAGCCAAGGAAAATCAAAAGAGCAGCAGAAGGAGCACTTCCAAACTCACTGTACGAGGACAGCATCACCAACACCAAAACCAAAGACGGTACAAGAAAGGGAAACCACCGACTAAGACATAGATGCAAAAACCCTCAACTAGACAGGAACAAACCAAAAACCCAACAACATGTGAGGACACACACCATGAGCCAGTGGGATTTACCCTGGGTGTGGACGATCAGCTCAACGAACCTCCATCACATCAACAGGCCACAATGAGAAAACCACATGGTTATATCAACAGGAGCAGAAAATGTATAGTAAAATCCAACACCTTTTCATGATAATGATTCTCAGCAAATTAAGAATAGAGGGGAACTCTGTCAACTTCAGAAAAAATATCCACAAAATACCTACAGCGAATGTCATACTCCATGGCGAGAAACTTGAGGTTTTCCCACTAAGATCAGGAACCAGGCAAGATGACCCCTCACCCCTGCTCTTCAACACTGTACTGGAAGTCCTAGCTAATGCAATGAGACACAAAAAGTAAACACAAGGTGTACAGATTGGGGAGGAAGAAATAAAACTGTCTGTTCGCAGATGACATGATCATCTACGCAGAAAATCTGAAATAATTAACAAAAAATAACCTGGAACTAATAAGCAATTATAGTGAGGTTACAGGATAAAGGTATTATTATATATTATACAATACGTAGCCCAGCCAGTGTGGCTCAATGGTCGAATGTCAACCTATGAACCAGGAGGTTCAATTTCCTATCAGGGTTCAATTTCCTGCCCAGGTTACAGACTTGTTCTCCAGTAAGGGGGTACGCAGGAGGCAGCCGATCAATGATTCTCTCTCATTATTGATGATTCTATCTCTCTCACTCTCTCCCTCTCCCTTCCTTTCTGAGATCAATAAAAATATATTTTAAAAAATACAGTATGTAAAGGTCAGTTGCTTTCTAATAAACCAGCAATGAACAAATAGAATTTGAAATTAAAACGACAACACCATTTATTATCAGCATCAAAACAAAAGGAGAGAAATACTTAGGCATAAATCTAACAAAATATGTACAAGATCTATGTGAGGAAAAGTACAAAGCTCTGATGAAAGAAGCCAAAGAACTAGATGAATGGAGAGAAAGTTAATGTTTATGAATGGGAAGAATCAATATTGTCAAGATGTCAGCTCTTCCCAACTTGACCTACAAATTCATCACAATCCCAATGAGAATCCTAGCAAGTTATTATGTGGATATTGACACACTGATTCTAAAGTTTATATGGAGGCAAAAGGTCCAGAATAGGCAACACAATATTGAAGAACAAAATCAGAGAACTGATGCTACCCGATTTTAAGACATACTCTAAAGCTACAGTAATCAATACAGCATGTATTCTATCCAGCCATTATGTTTGCTGATATTCCAAAGGACGTAAAAACTTATGTCTCACTAAACTTGGCACACACATGGTTATAGCAGCTTAATTTATAATTGCAAAATTTTTGAAGCATCCAAGATGCCTTTCAGTAGGTGAATAATTACACAAACGTGATACATAAAGATTATAGAATATTCTCCAGTACTAAGAAGAAATTACCTATCAAGCTATAAGAACACATGGAAGAAGCTTGAATGCATGCGATTAAGTGAAAAAAAAAAAAAAAGCCAATCTGAAAGACTACATACTGTATGATTCCAACTATATGACATTCTGGAAAAGGCAAAACTATGGAAACAGCAGTGAAAATACTCTATATATTATAATAATGAATCTATGTCATTATACATTTGTTCATACCCGTAGAATACACAACATCAAGACTGAACCCTAAGGTAAACTATAGACTTTGGGTGATTATCATGTGTCAAAGTAGTAGTCACTATTCTGGCGAATGATGTTGATAATTGGGAAGACTAGGCATGTGTGGGGACAGGGAGTATATGGGAAATCTTTGTACCTACCTCTCAATTTTGTTGTAAACCTAAAACTACTCTTAAAAAAAGATTTTAGCCCTAGCCTGTTTGGCTCAGTGGATAGAGCACAGGCCCACGAACTGAAGGGTCCCAGTTTCCATTCTGGTCAAGGGCTCGTACCTTGGTTGCAGGTTCCCTGGCTCTGGTCGGGGTGCGTGCAGGAGGCAACCAATAGATGTGTCTCTCTCACATTGATGTTTCTCTCAGTCTCTTCCTCTCCCTTCCACTCTCTCAGGTGAGGATTAACAAAACAAAACAAAAAAAAGATCTTATAAAAAATGAATAAGCAAACACACACACAGAGGGACAGCGTGTGTTGCCCTGGCTTGTGTTGTTCAGTGGTTAGAGCACTACCCTGAGCACCGAAGGGTCGAGGGTTTGATTCCTGGTCAAGGTCACGTACCTGGGTTGTAGGTTCAATCCCCAGCCCAGGTCAAGGGGCATGAGGGAGGCAACCAATCAATGTTTCTCTCTCTCCCTCCCTCCCTTCCACTCTCTCTAAAAATCAATGGAAAAAATATTCTCAGGTCACAGAACAGACACATAGACTAATGGACAGAACAGAGAGCACAGAAACAGACCACCACAAACATAGCCAACTGATCTCTGACAAAGGAGCAAAGATAGTCTTCACAACAAATGGTGCTGGAACAACTTAATCTCCACATACAAAGAAATGAATTAAGACCCAGACCTTACATTCTTCATAAAAATTAACTTAAATAGACCATAGACTTAAATGTAAAACACAAAACTAAAACTCCTGTAAGATATTGTGAAGATAAACCTCAGTGACCTTAGGTTTAGCGAGGACTTTAAATACACCAAAAGCATGATCTGTGAAAGAAGAAGCTGTTATATTGTTTCCAAGGAGCAGGAAAGTAAACCTCGGTGACCTTAGGTTTAGCGAGGACTTTACACCAAAAGCATGATCTGTGGAAGAAGAAGCTGTTATATTGTTTCCAAGGAGCAGGAAATCTCCTCTTTCCTACTCCCCCATACCCCCGATCAATCCCCGAACTATGATTATACGATTTAATCCATTTCCCTAATATCTCAGGGACATCAATTTCCACTCAATAGTCAACACCCCATGGGACAGCCTGCTCTAAACTGGTGACAATACAGAGGGAGAGGACTGAACAGTTGTGAGAACCCTTTGGGAGGGAAGAGCCACAGGACCAGCTGGTGGAACCAGGAAGAATCTAAGTGGTTTTGGCCTCAACAACTGGGTATGTGGTAGGTAATGAACTGAGAGAGGAAGAGAAGGACCTGTTAAAGATCTGGTTTTGGACCCACACCAAATGAATAGACACTGCATTACAGCTGTATGTCCATGGGCAGCAGGAAACCCTGGTAGAAAGATGAACAGGGAGTCTTGAGCATGGAAATGCATTTCAAGACGTGGATGTAGACGCCCTGGGCAGAAGGAGCAGAGAGACCAGAAGATCTAGGCCAGGGCCTGAGGAACCTTGTCGTTGAAAGGCTGGGCTGAATGATGAAGATCAAGGGGCAGCCCAGAGAGCCGTAGAGAATGCTGCCCCTAATCCCAGCCTTGCCAAGAAAAGGTGCTTGTGGGCTGCGTCACATGCTGCTGGGAAGGCAGCAAGAGAAAGATGCCACTCAGCTGGCCAGTGGATGGGGGAAGCAGCTGTTCCCTTCACACCCTACTTACCCACCTCGCACCAGCTCCACTACACACACACATGCACGACATGGAAGGAGGGGCCGCCTCAGAAGAAGCCCCAAGTGGTTCTGGAGACTCGCAGAGGGCAGGTGATGATTACCTTTGTGCTAACCAAGGTCTGAGAAAGATGTGCCACCTCTGTTCTCTGAAAGCGTGGAGCAGGAGTTAGAAACACCTGCCCCCAAGGTGGCCCCTGAAAGAGGAAGACGAGCATGGCCAAGAAGGGGTGAAAAAGAGGGGAAGAGAGGAGGGAGAACTTCTAGGTAATGTCAGCCATCCCATCCAAGGGGTTCCTGAAGGGAGCTAAGCAGGCCTTCCTCCAGCAATACTACATGCCCAGCTCGGGCTAGGTCGGGGCAAGAATGGGTGAGGAGGGGCTGCCCCAGTGGGGATGAGCTGGATCCCATAGGAGATGAACGGCGGGTCTGGGAGGAGGAGAAAGTATAGGGGACTTGTTAGCCAAGGGGGCATGGAGCGATGGCACTCACTGTGTATTCTGCATGCTTTTTTCCATACCATTTCATCCACTTCCTGAACTCTCGGTCCATGGTCTGCAAGGGAACAAAATCAGACAGCCCATCAGAAATCCAGGAAGGCAGAGGAACTTGGGCAGATGGCCTGTGGCTCCTCGAGGCCCATCTATCCCCTTGTTCCCCTCCCACTCTGACAGATTAAGCCGAGACTGCCAGTCTGCCCCCTCCACCAACACAACCAGTAAGCAACAGCTCCAGGAGGATTCTGGGGGTCCCATGGATGGTAGACTGTGGGCCTATGATAGTTCCCAACCTTCAGGGAACCAGAGGACACCAGAGTCCAAACCACAAACATTTCTGTTGGATGAGATGATGCTCAGACCCATTTACTCCACAGACAGTGTTACCAGCTGACCCCACCCTGGGGGCAAGAGGCTATAGTTTCCAGAGGAACAGAAACACACTAACAGAGACCCAAACTCACATTGGAGACCACAGAGCCTCAGAGCTCCTGCCTGGATGACCCTCTCTCCCCATGTCCCACCACACCCCCATCCCCACCACCTGATGATGGGGGCAAACAAATGTGAAAAAGAAAAGAGGTACAAAGACATGGCCAAGTCCCCAAAATGGCTCACCTCCGCGTACTTGGCTGGGATGTCCGCTTTCTCGACTCCGTAGTGATGTTTGCAGTTGGTGGCCGCGGCGACTTGCAGCACGACCTGGCCCACTCCTTCAGAGAGAGGTGGGGGGAGGGGTAGTCACAGATGCAGGACCGTAATGGAAGGTGGGAGAAGCCAGGTGGGCAGTGGCCAGGAGGGTATTAGGCAGAGCCCCCAGACTCTCCACGAAGGCACACGCATTCACTAGGGGATGGCTGTCACACTATGGCTCCCACAACTAGAATTGGTCTATGGCCAGATAAAGCATGAACTATCCAGACACAGACACAGCCCTTAGAGACTGATGCCACAGGGTAAGGCTTCCATTTATCTCAAATCCACACTACACTGCTGCCACAGCACAGCAAGGCTCACCAGATAGGACATCGCCTTGAGAACACCATCAATGCGTGTCATCGACTGGGTTTAAAACGGGATTGGAGGTGGCAGGAGAACCCCCCGAAAAATAGAAATGGGATCTCCAAACCACTGTCACTGGTGGCATCGCTGCCCAGCCGGACAAGCAGGAGGAGCTGAGATCCAGGAAAGGGGCATTGCCTGCCAGCGCCGGCACTGTGGACCTTAGCCAGCAACCTGTCCTCCCATGAGAGGTCAGCTTTGCATTTCAAATAATGTTAGGAGCCCTTCAATTTTCCATTTTGAATAGAAGGTATTCAAATAATAAAAATAAGCACACATGCCTGACTGGCGTGGCTCAGTGTTTGAGTGTCGATCTATGAACCAGAAGGTCAGGGTTCGATTCCTAGTCAAGGCACATGCCCAGATTGCGGACTCAATCCCCAATGTGGGGCATTGCAGGAGACAACCGATCCATGATTCTCTCTCATCACTGATGTTTCTCTCTCTCTCCTTTCCCCTCTGAAATCAATTTAATACAATACACACACACACACACACACACACACACACACACACACACAATTTTAATAAGCACACTATTTAGAAACACAGGTAAATGAAAGCCCACAGGTAAAGGTCGTGAGGGTCCCTACCAGGGGCAGGGGAGGTAGTGAGAGTCATGCACAAGACTGGTGGTTTTAAAAAATCATCACTCTTTCAATATAAGAGAGATAACTTAAACAGCCTTCTAGATAACTGGCTTTTGAACCACATGCATCCCAATTAAAATATGAATTGTGTGCTTGAAAAGGGCTTAAACTAAGGATGACGCCACCAAAAATGTCATCTTATTCCCAAGTGTCGAGGACACACGTGCCTGTTTAGACAAGGCTTTCAAGTCTGTAAGCGTGAGGCTGTAGTGTATAAACAAAGTCACACGGGGACGGCAAAGATACCCGAAAGGGGGGCTGTGCACAGGATTCCTAGTAGAGCAATCTGATGTTTGACAGTCACATAATCAGCCCTGTCATGCCAATCAGAATATCCTACCAGGAATCAATCAGCCTGATGTTTACTCATTCTACAAAGCTCATCTTGGGCACACCTGCCAGGCCCCCGTAGCTGTCCTGCTAAGACAGGCCCTGCTCCCAGTAGCCTCCACTGGTGCTGAGGATGTCCCATAAGAAAGAAATAGGGGGCTGCTGGGGCTGGAGAGAGCTGGGACCCCACCCAGGTATTGAGAAGCAGAAAGGGCTTAGTTGAAACCTGTTGGGATGTAACTGTTTCCTCCATCTCTGGGGGAGCTAGAGGATCTGCAGGAAGGTCGGCTGGGGCAATGGGTCTGAGGGAGGACCTGCCCCCTCCAGCAACCTCACACTCTGAACTTTTCACAGAGGAGGTCTGGGGACTTGGAGCATAGCCCTGGGGCCACCTGTCCCACACTCACCACTTCCCAGGTCCACAAACAGGTCGTCCTCGGTCATCTTGATCTCATCAATCATCTGTGCGACCAGGTCAAAGGAGGTCTCCCCATATACCTCTGGGGAGAAGGGCTCGTAGTTGTTGAGCTTCTCAGGGTCCGTCACTGAGTGGTTGTAAACCTGCTGCAGGATGTGCCGCAGGAGCCCATTGGATGGCCGTGTATTCAGCTTCATGGGCTGCGTGGTTCCCTTCCACTGCAGACATCAAGGAAAGTGCAGGAATGCGTCACACAGGGGGAAATACACCCTACGACCTTCACACCCCAACACCAGGTTACTGCTTCGTACTGAGAAAAAGTGTGCATGTGTATATACAAGTGTGTGTATACATGAGTGTGTCTGGGCACATGGGCGTTATATGAGCCTGAACATGTATAAGAGTATGTATGTATATAGGTGTGCGTGTGTGGATGCATGCATGTGTGTGTATAACTGGCGAGCAATAAGGCCCACAGTGCACACAATGCTCACCGCCTGGGCCCTGCCATGCTGCCATGCCGCCTCGCTACACAACAGGGTTGTCAGCCTGTTGACCTCAGAACCCTGGCCTCAGAATGGCTGTCTTCCTGAAAATCTACGTGGGAAAAGAAATGGGCCCCGAGCAGCAGAGAGCCAGCACCCTGCAGCCTTGGCCTTCCCTCTTGGGATCAAGCAATGTAACGGACAATGGGGTGGAGAACCACAGTTGGGGTCTAGATGAGGAGCTAGGCCTGAGGGGAGAGTGAGGCCACCTACCAGCTGGTGGATGCTGTCGATGGCCCGGTTGTACTTATCACAGAGCCTCTGCATGCTTTCGAAGCTGAAAAAGGCAAAAGAAAGGCACTGGTTACTGCCAAGCTCAGTACAGGACACCAGGAGGGGACGGCACGTGGACAGATGTCACAGGGTCAGGCAGAGCCTGGCTCCCACCCAGAGGTCACAGGGCACCAAAGAGTACCCCACATGGGCAATAAGGCTAGGCCAAGAGTTTCAGGGTGAGGCAGTCATGGCTACGAGGCTGTATCTTGTACTCACAGGCCAAACCCGAGGTCAATGGTGTGCTCACCAGGCCATAGATCAGAAAAGAGGTTCACACAGCCATTCCTAGAGCCCCATGGGGAATGGGACCCAGACCAGGCCCTCACCCCCAACCCAGCAGGCAGGCTCTCACGGCCTTTCTTTCCCTGGCTGGATCCCGCAGCCCTCCCGCCCTCGGCCCTGACTCAGATGGGTGCTGAGAACACCCACAGGGAGAAAGGGCAACTGGCTTTGCTGGACCACGACCGATACCCTGAATGTGCAGAAAGGAGGGCAGCACCTCCCCCCTTCACACTGGTATCACTTCTGTTTACTAAAACTTTTTTAAAGTTTACACACTTTCAAAGATATAAGCAGCATGTGTTAGATATATAATGAGAGCTTGGGGGAGTTTTGTTTTTTTAATATATATATTTTTATTGAAAGAGGGAGAGAGACAGAAACATCAATGATAAGACAGAATCATTGATCAGCTGCCGCCTGCATGCCCCACACTGGGGACCAAGCCTGTAACCCAAGCATATGCCCTGACCGGGAATCGAACTGTAACCTCTTGGTTCATAGGTTGATGTTCAACCACTGAGCCAGGCCAGCCAAGCGGGGGGAGTTCTTTAAGAAACGAAATTCTTGGGGAGGGTGCAGGATCAGGATGGATGGAGTCAATGGGGGAGGAAACTGGGACACTGAATAATTAAAAAAAAAAAAAAAAGAATCTAAATTCTCCCAAACATGATCAATTTTATTTCAGGTGTTAATTTTCAATGAAATCCCCTAAACCAGGGGTTTTCACCTGGGATTGTCATACCCCCAAGGAATACAGGGTGATGTCTGGGAACATCTGTTTTGTCATGAGTTGGGGTGCTCCTAGCATCTATAGTAGGTGGGGGCCAGGGATGCTGTTCAGCACCCACAGTGCCCAGGACCGCCCCACAGAAAGTGACCCAGCCCTGATGTCCACAGTGCCACAGGGGGGGGACATGCACCAGGTTTCTGTGCTATATAAAAGGAGCACCCCTGGGGCTCTCTACCTCTGTTCAGCGATGCCAGCTGAGTAATGGGCTCCTTCACACACGGGACACAGAACCACTACTCCCCACGAGCATCTTCGATACCTACCCCACTCCTCATTCTCAGCCCTAGATTTACAGAGTTTAGGGGCACTTTCCTTCCTAACAGAAGTAACAAATTCAACTAAGACCAGCACCCACATGACAGGTTTGCAACTCCCTTGGATGGCAGCTGCCATTGAAAAAGCTAGAGTGTTCAAGGGCAGGACAGAGCAGCCACCACCAAAGCCTGAAGAGTTCTCACAAAGGACAGTGACTAGAAACATCAGAGCGGGCTGATGCAATGAGTCAGTATCCAGGAAAAACGAGCTCCAGCACATTCCAGATTAGTTACAGGATGGAGGTGACGAGAGGTATGAGGGGCCAGCAGGCTCACAGTGGACAGAGGCCCTCCTGGCCCTGTGGCCCTGAGCCCACCTAGCAGATGGGAGGATGACTTAGCAGCAGGTCCAGGGCTCTGGTCCACACTTTCTGTGGCCGCAGGCAGAAGCCACTACACTATTCACCACTCTGCATTTTAGTTCCTGTGCTCCAACTTTCACATCACCCCTTCAACCCAACCACAGTGACCACTCAGCCTCCGACCACCCCTGGGAGACATTCTCCTGCAAGGATGAGCAGAGGCGGGGGCTCAGAGCACCTGGGCCATATCCCTGCAGCCTAGCCCCAGACAGGAATCCATCCCAACAGACCAAGCTCAGCCCCATGGGCTATCCCTGCTGTCCCTTTGCTTGAAAGAGAAATGGTCCCACTGCTCGCCTGACCCTCATGTTGCACCAGTCCCTCGAGGGATGCCATCAGACTGGCCCCACTGCTCTCTGCCAACTCTGACATCCTTCCAGTCTTTTCTAAGCCAACTGAACAGAAAGGAAGAACATTAAACTTTCAACTCAAGCGTCTTGTAGCAAAAGCACCTCTCAAACATCTGCTGCTGTAGGCCCTGCACACAGTGGACACCCCTTTATTAAAGATGTGCTTCACCGACTATGTGACTGACATGCAAGGGCCAGTGCCCATACATGTCCTCACCCTAGGGGCAAGAGGACTTTGTCATGGGATCCACAGCATGGTTGATGCCCTGGACAATGAGAAGGCAATTCCCCCCCTTTTCCCCCCTCCAATCTTCACCTAAGGATATGTTTTCACTGATTTTAGAGAGAAAGGAAGGGAGAGGGGGAAGGGGGGGGGGAGGGGGAGAGAGATCAATTGAATGCCTCCCGTACGCACCCCAATCGGAGATTGAACCCACAACCTGGATATGTGCCCCAACCGGGAATTGAACGGGTAACTTTCTGGTGTATGGGACAACACTCCAACCTACAGAGCCATACCAGCCAAGGCCGGATGCCTTCTTTTTACAACACTGGGTAACAATTATTAGATGGGGAGGAGGGCGAGAGGTGAGAGGACAGAATCTGGCTGACTGAGGTGGGAAATGCTGACCCGTGAACCAAGGCCTCTAAACACACAAGTGAGATCAAGGAAGGGACGCCTGCGTGCTGGGCCCTGTGTGGGGGCTCCCGGGCTCCTGTGGGCCATGCTCTTCAACAAAGGCTGAGTTATCTCAGCCCACAGACAGCACCACCCTTTAGCCTGCCAAGAGCTAAAATGGACACAAGCCTGGAATGTCATCCTTCTTTCTCAAAGAAAAATAAAAAAATTCCAAGCAGGCATTCCAGAGCTGGCCTCTCCCTTCTCCACCCACAGGACTCTCCTTTGAGATCAGGATGTGCCTGCAGGAAACTGCTGAATGTGGCCAAAAGGCTGGGTACAGTTATTGAGAGTTGGACTGGGGCTAACGAGTATCTGGGGCTCCAGAGACCAGGCCACCATGGCTTCTGGGTAGGAAGCTTGGCTGCTGGAGTCGCCTGCTATGAAAACAGCGACTATTAACTTGAGGTGATTTCACACAGACCAAGTCTTGTTGCACTATGTGGCATTCTCAATTATGTCCTCACTCTGACAGCCTCTGCCAATATCTGATAAAAAGTTCCTATAAAATAGCTCCAGAGATTATAGCCAATTCTGAAAGGAAATTTCAGACCAGTTTTTACCATGGAAGAAGAACTAATTATAGGCTGTGTCCCTACCATGTGTTCAGATAGAAGAGAAGCAGCTCAGACAGAAACTCACTTACCTTTTGGTGTCGTAGTCGATTAGGACGTAATTCTCCATAGCGAGCTTGAGGTCTGGGATTTCCTCACAGACCCATCTGAAATCCAAAAGCAGAAACAATAATGAAGATGATTTTTCAGGCTGGACATTTCACTCTCAACTTTCTTAAACACTGTTTACTTCTAAATATAAAAAGATAATATCCTCATTACTCAACCGGAGTCATCACTACAGATTATACAGAGAATAAAAGGCAAATCAGGAATATGATGAAAAATGGCATGCCAATGAATCAATAACTTAGTTGAAGTGAACAAATTCCTTGAAAGACACAAATTACCAAAACTGACATGAGAAGAAACAGAACATCTGAATAGCTCTATCCAATTACATAACCTGATTCCCTAATAAAATACCTTCCTACGGAGAAAACTCCAGGCCAAGATGGCTTCACTGGTGAATCATATCAGACATTTGAGGAGAAATAGCACCAATTCCACCAAAATGTTTCCAGTTTTATGAGGCTAACATTATCCAGATACCAAAAGCAGAGGAAGACAAAAGCATCGTAAAGGCATTACAAGAAAGATTTTTGTGTCATCAACAGACACAAAAATCCTTCACAAATATTACAAATGAATTCAGCAAAACACTTTTATCAAGTGAGGTTTATGCTAAGAATGAAGAGTTGCTTAACACTAAAATTAATCACTGTAATTTATCTCACTAATAGAATAAAGGAGAAAATAGTATGGCCATCTCAACAGATGCAGAAAGTGAACATGACAAAATTAAATCCCTACTCATGATTAAACAAACTCTCAGGAAATTAGAAATGGGGGAGGACAGCTCAATAAAGGTCATGGGGTCAGGTATGAAACTATTGTCTCTGGGCAAGAAACCACCCGCAGCTCCACTTTGCCTGCTGGCTCCGTTCTGTGATCTGCAGGGGATGGGAGGTGGAGTGGGGGACACAAGGATACTTGAGAAGGAATAAGGAACAGCTCTTTTTGTCCCTGGGTCCCTATGTCATCTAGCAAGACTCCTCATGCTGCCTCAAGTACTACTTCTCGTAATAGCTACTGAATCCAGCTAGCAGTTTTCTTTATCATGCCCACAGACCACACACTCAGACCACACTCCTATCTCACAAGTCTGGGTACCCTCCCCTGGAGACCCATTCCAAACTCACAGTCGCCAGGGCCAGCTGGACAGTCCACATGTCACCTTCCTGTGCTCCCCAGACCCAAGGGTCCCTAGGCTGCAATAGTGCTCTCTTCTCCTTTGCTTACAGAACGAGCCCCTTTACTCCCAGTGAGCACCTCCTGATGGGGAAACCTCTGATCAGCAGCACACATGGTTTCAGGCAGGAGACCATGAGCCCTGCAGCTAACACCAAACTGGGTGCAAGACTTATACTCCCAGGAGGGTGGAGACAGTGAAGATGCCTGTGTAGGCCCCACCTCCCTTCAACACTGTACTAGATAGATAGAGGTCCTGGCCAGTGCCACATGACAAGAGAAACAAATGGACAGTCTTTACTGGAAAGAAACAAAACTATCTCTGTTCACAAGACACACGATTCAGTATGTAGTCTAGCCTATGGAATTTACAGAGATGCTTCTAGAACTCAAGATGTGAATTCAGCAAGGTCGCAGGACACATGGTCAACATGCAAAAACAAGCTATATTTATATGTACCAGCAACAACAAAGAATAAAATAAAAGAAAAAAGAAAATAAATTAAATGTCACTTAAAATAGCATTAACACATAAACACTTAGACCCTGGCTGGCGTGGCTGTTAGTTGGAGCATCACCCATGCACCAGAAGGTTTCAGGTTCAATTCCTGGTCAGGGCATATACCTAGGTTGTGGGTTCGACCCCAGGTCGGGGCACCTACAGGGGGCAACTGATTGATGTATCTCTCTCACATCAATGTTTCTCTCTCTCTTTCTTCCTCCCTCTCTAAAAAATATCCATTAAAAAAATCCTTAAAAAAACATAAATACTTAGGGATCATTTTAATGAAAGACTTGCAAGAGCTCTATTGAAAACAAAACAAAACAAAATGCTGAGAAAAGTTAAAGGCAACATAAACAAATAATGTTCATGGGATCCAAGACTCAATATTGTTAAACCTCCTCGTCAAACTAGACTCCACCTCAAAGTAATCCCTAAAAAAGCCCAACAAGCTTTTTTGGAGAAACAGACAAACTGATTCTAAAATTGACACACAAAGGCAGAGAACGTGGAACAGCCAAAATAATCTTTAAAAATAACAGCACTGTTGCAAAACATACTATCTTGTTTTGGGACTTACTATAAATCTGCAGTAACCAGCAGTGTGTGGTAAACAAACAGGGCAGTGACAATGAACACAAAATCCAGACAGACAAACATATAAACATGAAATTTTGATAAAAGCACCAAGATAACTTAATGGGGAAAAGAGAGTCTTTTCAACAAATGAGGCTGGAGCCCTGGCCGGTTTGACTCAGTGGATAGAGCGTCAGCCTGCAGACCAAAGGGTCCTGGGTTCAATTCTGGTCAAAGGCACGTACCTTGGTTGCAGGCTCCTCCCAGGCCCAGACCCTGGGGGACACGTGCAGGAGGCAACCAGCCAATGTGTTTCTCTCACATTGATGTTTCTCTCTGTCTTTCCCTCTCCCTTCCACTCCCTCTAAAAGATCAATGGAAAAACATCCTCGGGTGAGGATGTACCAAAAAAAAACAACAACAAATGAGGCTGGAACCACCAAGTATCAGATGGAAAAAACTTAAATTTTCACCCTCATAATCTCTGTAATCTCATTTAATAGAACCAAGATTAATTCACAACTGATTTTAAACCTGAACGTAAAAGTGAAAACCACAGAGCTTCTTGAAGAAAAGAAAAGACAGTATCTCTGCAACTCAGGAGGCAAAGATTTCCTGGATGCAACCCAGACAACTAACCATCAAAGAATGAACTCAGTTAAAAGCTTCCACTCATTGAGGTGCCATTAAAACCGCAGTCAGCTACACTACATCTCATATAGTACCTCATCAGGCACTCACTGCCAGAATATGTCAAGAATTCTTACAACTTAAGTCAAGGGGAGACAAACAACTCAATCTCAAGAAATGACAAAACAAAGCAGAGCTCCCCAGAGAAGTGGCAGATTCTAAGGGTGCGATGTGGGAAACTCAGAATGACTCTGGAGCGTCCTGTGGTTCCAGAAAGTGAGGCTGGACTCAGAATGGGCGGGGGCAAGTCAGAGGAACACAGGACAGAATGAAAAAGCCCCCACTGGGCTCCCAGAGTTGAAAACACATTCATCATGTGGTGGACAGGTAAACAGGATGAAGGAACTGTGGTCCCTCCTACAACAGCACACTGCTCAGTAATAAAAAGGAAAAGCTACTGGTACACACAATGGAGAATCTCAAAACTGCGTGCTCAGCATGTGCTGTACAATTCCATGCAGGTAAAATTTTAGAAAATGTAAAGTAACACACAGTGCCAGAAAGCACATCAGGGTTGCCGAGGACAAGAGTGAAGAGGGAGCCGAAACCGGTTTGGCTCAGTGGATAGAGCGTCGGCCTGCGGACTGAAGGGTCCCAGGTTCGATTCCGGTCAAGGGCATGTACCTGGGTTGCGGGCACACCCCCGGTGGGGGATGTGCAGGAGGCGGCTGATCGATGTTTCTCTCTCATCGATGTTTCTGACTCTCTATCTCTCTCCCTTCCTCTCTGTAAAAAATCAATAAAATGTATTTAAAAAAAAAAAGAAAGAAAAGTTTAAAAAAAAAAAAGAGTGAAGAGGGAGATGGATTCAGGGGACATGAGGAAATGTGGGGGATAGAGATATCTGTTGCCATGACTGCTGTGCATGGACATGTGTACAGCCACCCCACTTAGACTGTACACTTCACACATGTGCAGTTTCTGTGCCTCGGGTGTATTTCAGTTACAATTTTTAAAGTAATAATATGGGAAAGAACACCCTCAACTACCTCTGTGTATGTTGGAAATTCTCCATTATAAAAAGTAAAAGAAGAGGAAAAAAAAATGAGGTAACCACCCATCTCTGCCAATGAACAGAACTCATCTGTAGGGACAAAGAGGGAAGAAGGTCAAGTTGTTTTGAGACACAGGACTTGAGGCTCAGGCCTGGAGGTCAGCAGCCACTGCCAGTCCAGGAGAAGACCAGGTTAACTGGAGATTCCAAACCAAAGGCTGGCTCCACAGATTCAAACTGGCCTGACACCCTGTACTGCAGGACAAAAAGACACCCTACTTTGCAGAGGAAAACCCATTGGAGAGGCCGCCACCATGAAGCACCCCCAAGGAGTAGACAAGAACCAAGCTGCCAGCTCAGAACCCTCCCTCCCTCAACCACAACACTTCCACCATCTAACCAGCAGCCTCTTTAAAAATAAATAAATCAGCCTGGCTGGTGTGGCTCAGTGGTTGAACGTCAACCTATGAACCAGGAGGTCACAGTTCAATTCCCGGTCAAGGCACATGCCCAGGTTGCAGGCTCAATCCCCAGTAGGGGCATTGCAGGAGGTAGCCAATCAATGATTCTCCTTCATCACTGATGTTTCTATCTCTCTCTCTCTTCCTTCCTCTCTGAAATCAATAGAATCAATCAATCAATAAACCAGCCCTAGCCAGTTTGGCTCACTGGTTGGAGCATTGGCCCTCAGACTAAACATTCAGATCAAGAGCACATACCTCGGTTGTAGGCTCCATCCACAGCCCCGATTGGGGCACCTGCGGAAGGCAGCCGATTGATGTCTCTCTTTCTCCCCTCTCTCTAGAAAATCAACGGAAAGAATATCCTCAGAAGAGGATTAACAAAAAAATTTAAAAATATAAAAAATAATAAAATGGAAAAAATAAATAAATCAGCCTTGGCTGGTATAGCTCAGTTGAGTGTCATCCCATGTACCAAGAAATCACCAGCTCAATTCCCAGTCAGGGCACATGCCCAGGTTGTGGGCTTGATCCCCAATCGGGGGTATGCAGAAGGCAGCCAATCAATGTTTCTCTCTCCCTCTCCCTTTCCTCTCTCTAAAAATCAATAAAAACACATTTTAAATAAACAAATAAATAGATAAATAAAACTAAGCGACCTGTAATACTGCTTCACCAACTGAGTGGTTTATGGATTATACTAGAAAAAAAAGATCCTACATCTCAACAATGGCACCCTGCTAGATCCACACAAATAATTTCACCCAATCCTTAAAACGATCTTTCAAGGAGACACTGCTCAGCCCCAAGATCAAACCAAAGCAGTTGGGGGAGCTGCAGGGCCTGTTAGGTCACCAGCTCCCAGGCAGCAGGGTGGAGATGCCCATCCTGACTCTTCCACAGACACCACAACCTGGCCCTGCCATGGGCTACTACAGGCTCATGTGGATGTCATGGTGTGTGACCCAGGTGGTGACTACATGGCTAAGGATGTTAAGAAACAACACAGCAAGATGCCAGTAAACAGCCCTAACCGGTTTGCTCAGTGGATAGAGCTTCAGCCTGCGGACTAAAGGGTCCCAAGTTCGATTCCAGTCAATGGCATGTACCTTGGTTGCGGGCACATCCCCAGTGGGGAGTGTGCAGGAGGCAGCTGATGGATGTTTCTCTCTCATCAATGTTTCTAACTCTCTATCCCTCTCCCTTCCACTCTGTAAAAAATCAATAAAATGTTTTTAAAAAATGCCAGTAAACAGACATGCGAGTTTACCGAGGGAACTGACAAAGATTGGGGTTTCCAAGCATGGGATATGCAAAGCAGGAAGTAGCCACTGTCATCACTCGAGTTTGTTCCAGACCCTCAACCCAGCATGGAGAAAAGGCCCATTAGAGACAGAGTGGAGGGTACCTCCTTCCTGGCTCCAGACCCTCAAGTGCCATACCAGGAGAAGGCCCACTAGACACAGCAAAGGGCACCTTCCTGCTGGTTCTGTCAAAATTGTCACTGACACACCCTGTGTTCTTCCCTGCACTCTCACAGACTGGGCTTTTGGAGGGCTACCGAGGATATGGAGGGAAAATCAGTCCACCAAGGGGCTGTGGCTGAAACCGCACCAAATCCAATAGGAAGAGGACAGAGACAGATGGAAGAGAGAGTAAAACAAGGGGAAGAGGAAAGGAGTTCCCTTGTCCATCAATTTCCACGAGAAGCCGAAGTTCACAGAGGCACCGGGACCTATCCAGGCCACACCCAGACAACCTGGACTCCTCTAACCAAACTCTGACACTTTTCAAGTCTTCTCAAGATGCTGATAGGGAACACAAGAAGGACTGGGCTGAGAGAAGGTGGGTGTGCTGGAAAGACAGGAACGGGCGCTGGCCCCAGGCCAGACCCACCCCCACAGATGCCACACTCACCGGATGGTCTCGATGATTTCATGAGCAGCATCATGGTGTTTGTCCTGAAAGATAAAATGACAGGGTTTAGAGCTGACTGAGCAGTCTCTCTATACTCTATTGATGGCAGGTTGGCCATCTTAGGGTCCAGGGACTATAGGATGGGGGCACTGTAGCCCCTGGGCTTTCCCATCTCTGTATTTCCAGACCCACTAAGCTCTCAAACGCCCCACTCAGGCAGGACTTCCCAGTGAGTTATTAGGGTGCTGTCCTGGGACCTCTGCCCACTTGGGATATGCTGGCCTAGAAGAGATCCTGTCCCTGTAGTTTCTCTCCCCAGCAGGCAGCAGGGAAGGGATGAAATCTATGACCCCGACCCTCCTGGCCTCCACCCGCCAGTACCCACTGGCACTTCTCCCGGGCACTCCCACGGCCTGGATGCTACAGGCCTGGCTCTGAGTTACTGACCCTCCCAGGCCTCTGTTTCCCCATCTGTAAAATGGGAAATGTCAATAATAACCATTGTGAGAATGCATGTGGCCATCCTCCTGCCTAGACAAAGACACCTCCCACTTCCACTGGTGGCCAGGACTGTGCCCACTGTGTGTGTGTGTGGGGGGGGGGATTCACCATGGCTTCTTCCTCAAAGGAAGCTCAGGGATCACTCCAGGCCTTTCACCAGGGTGTGGGCAGCAAGTTAATCCAAAATCTCAAAGAAACTAGGATCAGAACCACCGAGTAATCCCCTCTAACTCTGTCCTTCTCTCACATAAACACTACGCCTTCCATACTGCGGTGAGAGTTAGTGCAGGGGGTCAGCAAAGAGGATGGACCTGGAGGGAGAGGCCTGCCAACCGCTGCTCTGTGGCAGTTACAACGCCTCTTAGCCCAGGCCACCATTTCTACCGCTTTAAAACAGGATATGGGTAGAGTGCCTCACATTCAATAACAGAATCAAAACAGCTCTTTAGATACCCTTGAGACTTAAGTCTTATTTTTAAAAAATAATAGCTCTATTGAAATATAATTCTGATAGAACGGAGCTCACTTGTTTCAAGTACACAGTTCAGTGGTTCTTAGTAGGTTCAGTTTTGTGCAACCACTGCACTAATTCCAGAATATTCCATCACCCAAAAAGGAAGCCACATCCCTATCAGCAGTCATCCCAGCCCCCTCCCAGCCCCTGACAACCACTAACCCACTTCATGTCTCGTGGATTTGCCTATTCTGGACATTTCACATAAATTGGATCACATACTATGTGGCCTTTTGTGCAAGGCCTTTTTTTTTTTAATAAATCTTTATTGTTCAGATTATTACAGTTGTTCCCCTTTGTCCCCCCATAGCTCTCCTCCACCCAGTTCCCACCCCACCCGCTGCCCTTACCCCTCCCACTGTCCTCATCCATAGGGGTACGATTTTTGTCCAATCTCTTCCCACCACCCC